GATTACTAGAAGTCAGGGGATCTCGTCCTGGCAAACAAGTCACCTTGGCCGAACATGAGATTCGTTATCTCTGTACCAAAGCTAGAGAGATTTTCATTCAGCAACCAATTTTGTTGGAGTTGGAAGCACCAATCAAGATTTGTGGTGATATTCACGGACAGTACTATGACTTGTTGAGGTTGTTTGAGTACGGCGGGTTCCCACCCGAGGCAAATTACTTGTTTCTTGGTGACTACGTTGATAGAGGTAAACAAAGTTTGGAAACCATTTGTCTTTTGTTGGCTTACAAGATCAAGTATCCGGAAAACTTCTTTATTCTCAGAGGTAATCACGAATGCGCAGAAATTAATCGTATCTACGGGTTTTACGATGAATGTAAACGGAGATACAATATCAAGTTATGGAAGACATTTATTGATTGTTTCAACTGTTTACCCATTGCTGCCATTATTGACGAAAAGATCTTCACCATGCATGGTGGGTTATCACCAGACTTGAACTCCATGGAACAAATTAGAAGAGTTATGCGTCCAACTGATATTCCTGACGTTGGATTATTGTGTGATTTATTGTGGTCAGATCCAGATAAAGATATCACTGGTTGGTCAGAAAATGACCGTGGTGTGTCATTCACTTTTGGACCAGATGTCGTTTCCAGATTTTTACAAAAACACGATATGGATTTGATTTGTCGTGCCCATCAAGTTGTTGAAGATGGATACGAATTTTTCAGCAAACGCCAATTGGTTACTTTGTTTTCAGCACCAAACTACTGTGGGGAGTTTGATAATGCAGGAGCCATGATGTCAGTTGATGAGTCATTGTTGTGTTCGTTTCAAATATTGAAACCAGCTGATAAGAAACGAGTATGTGGTGCCGACTTGATTGGAAGAAGCATTGAAGGGAGAAAACCAAACCCAACAACAAGATGAACTATACTACCGCAGCGAGTTTCCATCCATTAACACTTTTTTATTTTTTGTTTACTCTTGTAACTTTCTTTTTATACTTTACCGGCAACCACAACGGCAACCACAACGGCAACAGCAGAAACAACATGAACTACAGGCAAACAAAACCACTGAGCCATCATACAATCAGCACAAGCATAGACAACATGCATAAAGAACACCTATCTTTGTTTTTACAACTCCCTTTACCAAAGACAAGAAGCGGTCAATGTCACTGACTTCACCAATACTACTACTCAACCACCCGTATTTTGATGAAATGACGATCCCCCACACCACCTTTACTTACTTCAACTAGAGAAAGTTTCACTTCATTTATTTTTGACAAATACCCTGCATTATTAACAAAAGTTTCCAAAATTTTCCAGTTTTCTTCAACGAATGATTACAAGCGCTTGATTTACAGTGGACAATTACCATGCTGAAGCTACTTCCTTTTTTTTTTTGTCATATAGAATGTTTCCTTTTGTAGAGAAAGAAAGACAAACCTCTTTGTAGACTACAGAAAGGGAAGTGTTTGCAAATGTGAGTTTGTGAAGCGCTTCTTTTTCGGTACTATTGTTCATATATAGTTTTTTTTTCAGTTTTAGGGTAAAAGTAAAGAGCGCCTTTGCTTTGTCGTTTAAGAAATCTGGTTTTGTGTCGTTGCTTTTGGGTTGCGAAAAGAAGCCGAATGAAAAAAGTTTATGCAAATTTGTTACAAATGATTTTGATACACTAGCTAAGAGTTTATCTGTTTGTTGTTTTATTGATGGGTGCGGGTGGGGAAGGGGGGGGGAGCGGTGGTAAATCTAGTTGGAACTTTGTTGGTAAGGTGCTGTGATTATAGAGTACAAAGTACGCATTTTTTTTAAGGAGTGGACGTTCAATTTGTGTGAAGGGAGTGACGGTGAGAGAGGACGTTGGTAGAAGGTACACCGTTATTGCTGGAGTTTGTGATGAGCTTCAAGTTTTGTGAAGTTGAGGACGAAGTTGTGTTTTGCTATTGATTGTTGACTGTTAGTTGGGGTTGAGATTTTGCCTGTTCACATTTTTTATTTTATTTGTTTTTTTTTTATTGACCACTGTTATCTTTAAAATGACCATTACTGAGAATTAGTGGGAACGACTTGTCTTTTTGATCCTCCCAATGGTCGATTTTAGAGATCTCAGGACGTTTTTCTTTTACATATATTTTGACTAGATTGAGAAATTGATACGTTTTGTTAGTTCAGACTCTGCATTGTCGCGAGTGTGTAGATGTAGCTCAATTTCAAAAAGAGATAACAAGATAGACGCTTTGTTTGTGGTGGGTTGATTAACAGGATATATGATTAGACTGTGCCTGTCTTGTGTAACCCCCCTTCTTCGTCAGAGGTGATTACTCGATTAGGGCTGTAGCCCCGACCACTATAACAACTTAAGATTTTTTTCGGTTGTTATGGTGAATGTGTCATCTTTGTGTAACTTCTTTGTCTCTCCTCTTCCTATCCAAAGAGAGACATAGAACAGAAGAATTTTTTTTTTTTTTTCAAATCCAACCTAACAGCAGTAACATCAGCTTTTTTGAATAGTATCACAGCACATAATGGTATGTTTCTACATCTATCACAGGAGTGGAGCAGTGTGGAGATACTTTTACTAAAGTGAAAGGGCACGACAGTGATGCGGAACCAAGGGGAGTTACGATTCAACGACCAGTGAACTTTTTCGATCAATTTGAAAGGGGGCAGAGGTGGACTATGCCAATGGAGCGATTAATAGACACATTGAGCGAATGTATATACTCGTGCATAATAAAGAGGAAGAATAGGGGTAACTTCAGCTCAGCTTGTGGACCTTGCAAGTGCAGACGAACATGTTTTAACTTTCGAGGACTCACAACTGGCACTCATTATCAGCCCATATATCCCTATGACTGGTTTACTCTTTCAAGTCAAAGCTTAACTTTTATCCAACTGTCACCCACGCTTGCCTTCCACCAAAACACAGTTTTCAGAAACAAAATATACTAACAAAGCAACTCTTTACAATAGGTTTTAGTTCAAGATTTATTACACCCATCCCCAGCCACCGAAGCTAAGCAACACAAGTTGAAGTTGTTGGTTCAACAACCAAGATCATTTTTCATGGATGTCAAATGTCAAGGATGTTTAAACATCACCACCGTTTTCAGCCATGCTCAAACTGCCGTCACTTGTGATTCCTGCTCTACTGTATTGTGTACTCCAACTGGTGGTAAGGCTAAGTTGACTGAAGGTTGTTCTTTTAGAAGAAAGTAAATGAGTTGAGGAAGAGTTAGCCGGGTATCATGAAAGAGGACAATTAGATATTGGAAAGGGAAAAGAGAGAGAAAGTGTGTGAAGATGATGGAGTTTATCAATGGTAAGGGGGCGCAAAAGTAGATCCTATTATTTGAAAGACTACATCGACTTTGACGAATGGCGTTCATTTTGAATGGGAATTGCACAAACAAAAAAAAAGAGAAAACTGGGATATTGGTTTTTTTTTTTTACATGTATAATATATATAAATATACTTAATATATTTTTGTTAAGAATAATATAATAGATATATGTATTTACTTGAAAGAAACGGGGTAGAAAGAGGTGTTTGAGTATAAAGTTAAGCTTCTGTGTATTGAACTAAACAAACTGATTAAAAAATGGGATGTATGTTGAGAAATGTAGAGCTGTATAAAGTAAACGCTTTCCTTTGTAAATCAATCCCTAATCCTCTCTCTATGTTTCTAAAGTTTGGCTGATTCCGTCTTTGAGTTTCTCACAACTTCATCAATGGCATTGGCCACTTTGTCAACATTTCCATCATTCAAACCAGCAACCGAGGCTCTTCCACTAGAAACCAAATAAACACCATGTTTCTTTTCCAACCTAGCAACTTGCTCAGGAGTCAATCCCGTGAATGAAAACATTCCAGTTTGGTCAGTAATATGGTTCCAAGTTCCTGGAGTGCCCAATTTTTCCAATTTGGATCTCAATGTGTTTCTCATCTTGATGATTCTAGATGACATAGTCACCAAGTCTTTTCTCCATTGTGCGTACAATTGGGAATCACTGAGTATGGTGGAAACGATTTTCGATCCATAAGCTGGCGGGTTGGAGATTTCACAACGGATAATCAAATTCAATTGGGATTTAACTGCTTTGCCAAATGCTTCATCTTTGGTTGGTAATACGAAATGGATAGCTCCAACTCTCTCACCATACATACCGACATTCTTGGCAAATGATTGGCAAATGATGATTGGAGTAGATTTGATGACTGATTCATTAATGGCTTTGCGGATTGGGTACGCATCCTTTTCCAAATCACCCGATGCAAACCCTTGATAAGCCGAGTCAAATATGATCAAATGCTTCTTGGCTTCCAATGCTTGCAAGATTTGGTCCCATTGTTTGTAATTGGGGTCTAACCCTGTGGGGTTATGGGCACAAGCATGCAAGAGGAAGATAGAACCCAGTTCAGCTTGTTCAATGGTTTGTAAAAAACCTTGCAAATCCAACGACTTGGTGGCATTGTTCCAATAAGGATACGTCTTGACTTTCAACCCCAAGGTCTCAAACACTTGTTTATGATTAGCCCAAGTTGGCTGTGATAAGTAAATGGTGTGGGGACCAGCAGCATAAAACTTCTTCAAGAATAGTCCCGCTAAATGCAAAGCACCAGTTCCCGACAAACTCTGTTGCGAAACAACTCGCTTCTCAGCAATAGCAGGCGATGAATCACCAAGCAAGACTTTAGCAGCACCAGTGTAAAATGGCTCGTACCCAGAAATCGACAAGTACTCGTGATTGTAATCGGGAGAGTTGATCAATTTCTGTTCAGCTTGACGCACGGCTGGCAAGATCCATGGTTTGCCGTTGTTGTCACGGTAGGCACCAATACCCAAGTCAACTTTATCTTTACGTGGATCCTGGGTGTATCTTGCTTTTAAGCCAAATAATGGATCAGGTGGTAATTCTTTAACGTTGGTGAATAACTTTGACATGATTAATAATGGGGTTGAGTAAGGTTTTTTTTCCTTGTTGGCTGTGAGCTTGTGAATAGCCGTAAATGCCGTCTAAAAGCAAGTGGGATGTTTTACTGGTTATATATTTTGCTTTTTGGCTCGGGTTGTTTTGTTCTCACAGTCGACCAGAAGAATTGTGGAGAGTCGTGTGTTGTTGACCAATCTGCGTCAACTCTTTATATTTTTCTTTTTTTGCCTCTCTGCTTGAGCCGAAGAAATATCCCCTTTCATCCGACACACACACACACACACACACACACATATTATACTTAATTACCCCTCACTTTGTAATTAGCACAAGACGACAAAAAAAAAAATTAGAGAGAGAGAGAGAGAGAGAAACGCCATTCAAAAGAAGTCACGTGAAAGGCAATTGACTTCCTTCTCTCTAGAACTTTATTAGAATTGCCTTGAATTTAGCGCATATTTTTTCTTTAAAGTGGGGAAGCATTGACAAAAGGTTGATAAATCGGAATCTACAACTTAGGTCAAAAAGAATATGAGCAGGGGTTGCAACCGATCTTTCGATTCGTTATACGCGATAAGCGACGAGACTGCTGTTGCTTAATCCAAGACTAACTTTTTGCGTACTACGTGGCACTAGAAGACTAAAGCCACTTCTAAGCTTTTGTAGACAGTAGATGACAATAGTTCGTTTTAGCCTTTATAGGAGGAGCGCGTTAGTGGAAACAACATATAAAATCTTACCCAGCTATTGCTGCAAATTTCATACGAAACTTACTGTTTTCATGTAATGTTCATTCTGTAGTCTGCAATTGGATGGGAAGGTCTATCCAGAACAATTGCCACTCCGTTGTTACTAGTAGAAGAGTAGGTGCATAAACATTACCTGAAAATTGTTGCCAAGTACACCACAATCACGCAAGACACTGCAGCCTCTATACACCTTTACGTATCCATATCAAGATCACTTAAGAGAGCCAATTTACGTAGTCGTATACTCTGTTATTGCGAAGATGTCTTATTTTGCAGTCAAACGGGGAAAGTGCTTTGCATCAGATCATTCGACTTGAAAAAAAAAAAAATCGTTGACTCATCCAACCAACGGAGTGAACAGAGTGAAAAAAAACAACAAAAAAAAAAAATTATTATTCAGCACAAGCACAAGCAGAAACTACTTCATACTCAATACTACCACAACTCCACTCCCTAGATGTCTTCATTTGGTACACTATTCAAAGTTACCACTTATGGTGAGTCACACTGTAAGTCGGTTGGTTGCATAGTTGACGGGTGTCCACCAGGTTTGAAGTTAACTGAAGACGACATTCAACCACAATTGACAAGAAGAAGACCAGGACAGAGTAAATTGTCCACACCAAGAAACGAAGCTGACGCCGTTGAAATACAGAGTGGGACTGAAAATGGTGTCACTTTGGGTAGTCCCATTGGTATGATTGTTCGTAACAAGGATCATCGTCCTGGCGATTATAGTGAAACTGATTTATACCCAAGACCAAGCCATGCTGACTACACATACATACAGAAGTACGGATTGAAGTCAGGTTCAGGTGGAGGAAGATCATCAGCTAGGGAAACCATTGGAAGAGTAGCCGCTGGTGCCATTGCTGAAAAGATTTTGCAACAAGTAAACAATGTTGAAATCGTTGCCTTTGTTTCATCGATTGGAGAAGTGAGCATGAATCGAAATGCTCAAGACCCTACATTTCAAAACATCTTAAACACCATAACTAGAGAACAAGTTGATGGCGTTGGGCCAGTAAGATGCCCCGATGATGGAGTACGAGATGAAATGGTTAAAGTTATCGAAAAATACCGTGATGCCAAGGACTCCATTGGCGGAGTCGTCACTTGTGTCATTCGTAACTGTCCCATCGGGTTGGGAGAACCATGTTTTGATAAATTGGAAGCGAAATTGGCGCATGCCATGTTGAGTTTACCAGCCACAAAGGGATTCGAAATTGGATCTGGATTCTTGGGAACACAAATCCCTGGATCCAAACATAATGACCCTTTTATTCACGACGAAAAGAATAATAGATTGAGAACGAAAACTAACAATTCAGGTGGTATCCAAGGCGGTATTTCCAACGGTGAAAATATCTACTTTTCGGTAGCTTTCAAGTCAGCAGCTACAATCAGTCAAGAACAAGAAACTGCAACTTATGATGGTAAGCATGGTGTTTTGGCAGCCAGAGGAAGACACGATCCTAGTGTTACACCAAGAGCAGTTCCTATTGTAGAAGCAATGGCTGCACTTGTGTTGGTTGATGAGTTCATGATTCAACAAGCTAGAAGCGCCACAGCTGGATTGTTGACAAAGTGATGCTTCTGTTGTATATAGTTGAGAGGACCCTTTAATAGACAAACGTGTGTGTGTGTGTGTGTGTGTGTGTGTGTGTGTGGATCTGAGTATTGTTACTCTCTTATTGGTGTAGTACTTATAAACGCGTGTGCATTGGTGCAATATCAACACGTATGCCAGTTGTCAGGTGAAAAAAAAAAGGAAATAAAAAAAAAATGTCAACATTTTCCTTTAGCAAAGCAAACCACGACAACTTCAATTGTTTCACCTCATCCCACCATGAAGTTGCTTTTATCCATATTCGTATTCATTTCATCAATTGTGGCCCACAACATCCTCTTACAACCATACGGCAAACAATGTTTTTTCGAAAACTTGAAATCTAACGACGAATTGGCGCTTTCCTTCCAAGTTGGATCTCGTCTCCCATCCAACGCCGACCAAAACGTCGTCGACTTCTATATCACCTCACCGCAGGGCAAGGTTCTTGTCAAGCGTACGAACATCGATCATGGTGACGAGTCAGTCAAGGCCATTCAACTGGGCAAATACCAATACTGCTTCTCAAATGAACATTCCGGCAAAGCTGACGTCGATGTCAGTTTCAACATCCATGGTACGATTTATGTTGATGCCAATGATCCAAAAGCTGATACTTTAGATTATGCTATACAGAGATTGAGCGTATTGACTGATGAAGTCAAGGCGGAACAGGGGTATTTGGTGATTAGAGAAAGAACTCATAGAAATACTGCCGAGTCTACCAATTCTAGGGTTAAGTGGTGGTCAGTTTTCCAGATTTTTGTCGTTGCCGCCAATTCGCTTTTCCAAATTTATTACTTGAGAAGATTCTTTGAGGTTAAGTCGGTTGTATAAAGGGAAATAGGAATACAAAATTTTTGTGTAAGAAATAGAGTAGCTACATTAAAATCACCGCCAATGGTGGTAGAGAGATTGTTCAAAGAGTTGAATAGAAAAAGGAACTTTATTGAAACCGAACTTTAACGAAACCAACTCTATAACAGAATTGTGTAATCCTCAATTAGAACCAAAAGTCAACAATGTTGCTCTCGTCGGTGTGCTTAATTGGAGCAATACCAATACGCTTGTTTTCCAAATCCTTCACGTAATAAACCTCTCTAAGGAAAGGCAATCCGATTCCTTGAGCACCAGCATCATCAGCCACCTTGTAAATATGTCCAGCACAGCCATAGTCACCTTGATGTAATCTATAAAAGAAGCTTGAGTATGGGACGGTGATGTTGATGGGGCCAAGGTTGAAAGTGAACTCATCGGTTGTGTTCAAGACTCGATCACACTCAAAGTATCCCTCCCCTCTAATACCCAAGCCTTCGTAGATTCCATCAACAATCAGAGCTTCCAATCCAATCCATGCATTCCCAGTGTCAAATCCAACTGGTTTGGTAAATGGATAAGCTTTTCCATCAGCAGTGATGATTGACGTGGCATTGATGTTTTGCTCAGCATCAAAGATTGCCAACTCACCTTTATACTTGGCCTTATCGATACCTCCCAAAAGCAAATTACCTTGATTCTTCTCTGGACCCAAATAGATTGAGTATCCGGCACGGTTGGTCAATCCTGCATGTTTGGTAGCAAAGACATAGTTTGAATTTGCATCTTCAGCATTACCAACACCAAAAACACCAATGTCACCAGAACTTGAGAAACTGGCATCAAATTCAAACCCAGGAATCTTTCTACCATCATCGAAAAAGACATCATCGGTCGACTTGAAACTCTTGGTAGCTGGTCCACTATAAGTCAGATCAGACTCTTCGGTCAAGTTCTTGTAAGTCGATGAATTCTCCGGATGGAATACGGCATCGGGTGCACAAGTGGTTTTCAAACAAGTTGCACCGGGGACAGGGACGTTTAAACGATAAGAGCCAGTGTCAACTGTAACCCTAACTGGATCCTTTGCAGATCCCAACTTCAACTTTGTGAACCATCTGGCACCGGTATCAGAAAACCATTGCAGCTCAGTCTCGGTTCTTTTGTCGAGCGAACTGTCGTCACGTTCAAGCTCATGAACAATGTACTTGTCGTGTCTTTTCACAACGGGGGAACCATTGGTGATAGCAGCTAATAAAGTGACCAATACACTAGTCTTGAGGAAGGATACCATTGTGGATGTGGGTGTGTGGGTTGTATTGATGTAAAGAGAAGACCAACACAATGGATACTTGAGGGCGTCGATGGGTCCCTATTTATAGACTTTCGGGAACAATGAACATGACAGCCCTCACCGGTGCTTGTCCGTGGGTATTCAGAACTTGAACAATGAAAGGAGATGGATATGCATGCAACGTGGTCCGTGACAAATGCCCCTCTCCTCTTCCCCCCCCTCCCTTCCTCAGCTGAGGTTCATAACCATCAATTTCGTTGGAAATTGCCATCTTTTTGACATGAGCACACTACCTCTGTTGGTTGATGATTGGACGCAATTGAACTGTATAATTCTCATAACCATTCGATGGGCAGTCAATTGCGCTAAAATGACGTAATGGTACGTTTTTTTGCGCCTGTTCTCTTTCTCTCTTTCTCTCACCTAGTGGATTTTTGTGAGCAGTGAAAAAAGTTCAAAACCATTGCTAAGGGGGTGCACAAACTAAATTGCTTTGCAATTTTCGCAATTTTCGCAATTTGTTGGGCTTGAGCATGGAGTATTGCAAAATTTACGAGTCAATTTAACTAAAGTAGGGGAGGGGGACGCTCATCCAAAGCAAAGACACATTGATTACTTTTCTAAAACACTATACTTAACAGCTAGCTAGACTTTCCTAAAACCAGAAATCAACAATGTTACTCTCATCGGTATGCTTAACTGAAGCCAACCCAAATTTTCCTGTATCGTAGTTGGCCGTGAGATAAACGTGTTTGAGAAGTGGGATTCCCACATTTTGGACTGCACCTTGACCTGAAGCTTTAGCAAGACGACTGTTGCATCCAGTTCTATCTTCATTCCAGTAGAAAATATCTGAGTATGGCACATCAATTTGAACACCTTGCCCAAGATCAAACGTCAAACTCTGGTCTCCACTCAAAGCAATTTCACAAGAAATAGAGTTCCCGATGCTAACCTCTTTGATTATTTGGTCAACGATAGCTGGATGCAATCCCAAGGCATTGTTACCAGTATCCAATCGGGTTTCAGCTGAAAAGTCCAATGTTGTACCCTGTGCTGTGGTTATAGTTTTGGGGTGAATAGAAAATCTGCCATCGTAAATACCCAAGTTCCCTTCGTATTTGGCTTTGTCAACTCCACCTAAAAGAAAAGTCCCTTGCTGGTCATTGGTTGTGTAGAGTGAAAACCCAGCTTTGTTGATGTATCCGGCCCTCTTAGCAGCTTTAACATAGGAGGTGTTTGAGTCGGTGCTTGGGCCAATGCCAAAAGTGCCTTCTTCAAAAAAGCTGTGGTTCAACAAAGTAAACTCAAAGTTTGGGAGCTTCTTGCCATCCTCATAGTAAAAATCATCAGTCAGTTGAAACCCTGAGACATACACTGGATCTGCACCGTAAGTCGACTTTGCAAACTTGCTGAGGTTTTTGAAAGTTGTTGATTCATTGGGATCAAACGCATATTTAGGGAGACACTTGGTTCCATGGCATTGCGAACCGGCTTGTGGAATATTCAACAACCAGCTACCTGTATCAATGACAACTGAAACCTCCTGCTTGTTAGAGCCGAGTTTCAACTTGGTAAGGTAATATCCTTGACCATCTTGAAAACCACCAAAACTGCCCTGCTCGTATCTCTTTTTGATAGAGGCGTCTCCTCGTTCAACTGGGTAAGCAATGTACTTTTCGTGTCGCTTTGCAACGGGAGTACCACTGGTGATAGCAGCCAATAAAGCAACCAAGATAGAAATTTTGAGCAAGGACAACATTATGAGTGTTGGTGAAGTTGTAGAAAACAATGCATCATGAGAAAAATGCCTTGTGGCCGTTGACCGGCCTTTTTATACCTTCTTCTGGAACAATGAACAAGAATAACCTGTGGGTTTCCGGAGTCAAACAACAAACTGGAATAGACAACGTGGTAGTCTCCTCCAACAAAGACTCATAACCCTCAATGTTGTTGAATTTGCTGTCTTATTAACATCATTGCGCTACCTAGTTACCTAATAATTGGCTTAATTTGGATTCAAATTCTCATAACCATATGATGGGCGTAATTTTGCGTTGAGGTAATGCAACTCCGCTTATTTTTGGTTTTGTGGTGAGAAATGAGTTCAAAACCGTTGCTGAGGACAGAGATTAGTAGCAAGGGGGAACTAGGGCTAACAAGTGACTACCTGGCTTTGGAGAAAACGTGGGTATGACAAAATTACTGGTTAATCCAACTCAGAGAAGCAAATGCAGTAGAGGTCAAGGCTAATAATAGACGAACGAAAACGATTTTATTGAATTTTTACCAAAAAAAACAAGCTAGACTTTATTAAAACCAGAAATCAACAATGTTACTCTCATCGGTGTGCTTAACTGGAGCAACACCAAATGTACCGGAGTCAAATGAACTAGCGAGGTAAATTTGCTTAACAAATGGGAGACCAATGTTTTGGTCACCTTGAGTGGCGTAAGTGTTGGTGATGTAGGATCCACAAGTACTTGAACCGCTGGATTCCCTGTAGAACAAATCCGAGTAGGGAACATCAACGGTGATACCTCCTAATGCAAACTTTAAGCTCTTGTTCACATTCAACACGTTTGCACAAGGCGCATCACCATCTTTGTTTGCACCAACTTCCTTGTAGATTGCATCAACAATGTTTTGGTTCAATCTGATTTCTGGATCTCCAGAATCGAGGCCGATGGCACTTCCAATTTGAATTGTTTGGCCGTTACCGGTGGTAACAGAATCAAATTCAACTTCGAAGTCAGTATTGTCAAAAAAGGCCAAATCTCCTTCATATTTGTCTGAGTCAACTGCACCAAGCAAGAGTGTACCTGATTGATCACCGTTTCCCAAGTACAATGAATAGCCAGCCGTGTTGATCAATCCAGCTTTCTTGGCAGAATAAACATAGGATGCATCCTGTTGAGAATAGCGTCTAATACCAAACCAACCCAATTCAAAGCTAGTAGCATTAGCAACATCAAATTGGAACTGAGGAATCTTGTCACCATTGTCAAAGAAAACGTCATCGTAAACTCTGAATGAAGTCACCTTGGTGGTACCCCTTCCGTAGCCTGAAGATTGTGGGATGCTCAGGTTGTGGAAGGTGGTTGATCTTTCAGGATCGAAAACACTACCCGTAGGGCAAGGCTCAGTGTCGAGACATTTTGCTCCAGGACCTGGAACATTCAACCGCCAACTTGCAGTATCAATCATGACCTTGACCTTCTCTTTACTCGAACCAAGTTCTAAATCAGTAGTGTATCTTGTACCGGTGTTGGTAAAGCCGAGAAGCTCCTCTCTTTTGGAATTTCCTGGCAACTCATATGCATCAACTTGGTGTGCGAGATACTTGACTTGTCTCTTGGCAATAGGAGTGGCAGATGCAACAGATGCCAAAACAGCGACCAAAACGGACGTACTAAACTTCATTGGTGTTTGTTGTTGTTGTTGATGATGATGCTGAATGAGATCAAGAATTTTTTGGCACATCAAGTGCACTATTTATATTGTGAACTTTGGTACACCCAAATTTCACTTCCCATAAAGTTGCCAAACAAGCAACTATCAGCGAACCTCATCCATTGTTGTAGGGGTAAAGCTTGGCGACAAGTTTTGAACTGGATTCTTCTTATCTTTGCTTCATGCTTAGCAATTATAATTGAAACGGCATCCCAGGTATCATAACCACCTGTTGAAATTTTCCATGCCGTAGACACAAAGCCACGCGTACTTTCGGGCCAACAACAATAGGAATCTGAGCAATAAGAAATTAACTTTCATGGTGCACTATTATTCCGGTTTCCTAATTTAATAGTTTGTGACAGCGGATTGCAGTCCATCAGCGGTCGGTGTTTGTGATCTTCCTCCAACGGGAATTTCATTTCTTTCGACGACCCGGTCCGGAAACCTGACTCTGACGTTCCCACAAATATACGAACAAATTGTCATCTTCAAAAATATTGCTTCCCATTGTGAAGTAGATCACGCCATTCGTGACTGGGCAGCATTTATAAGCCTCACATCGAAGCGATTTGGGCACTCTACCCTAAATGTTTCAGGTGTCACCATGTTTCCTTCAACCTGGCCAAATTCAACCAACCTCGTCATCAATATTCAGCACTGCTGCTTACTAAGGAAGCACCGATTGCCCAACAAAACTTTCAGCACACAGGAACTGTGCTCATAACCAGGGTGGTGAGCAGTCTGGAATTCCTTTCCTATCCTTCATAGTTGTTCAAAAAAGCATTTGTGTGTGTGTGTATGTGTGTTTTTGTGTGTGATGTCAAACACTTCCAAAAATAGACTGTTTATCTTTTTTTTTTTATTGGTGGATTTGTGCAATAATTTCACTTTGCGCACACAAAGAATATTGAATTAGACTCCGTTTCAGGGGGTTGGGGTTGGGGGGAGAAGAAGTCACCTATCTGTCAAATAGAAGCCTCTTTTTGCTCGTATTTGAGTGGCGATGACATTAAAAAGATGTAGTATTGCGCTCTCTCTCTATCTCTCTCTCTCAAGCCTCTTTCATCATCCTCTCTTGGCGAGGAGTTGATACACTCGTTTTTTAATGAAATCTCAGCACCGGTACCCACCATTGTCCTTCTGTCAACAGCGAGTCGGAACAGACTCATACTCATGAAGTGTAATCTGCTTGTCTAGCTTTTCTTCATGTGCCCCCTCCCCCCATTAGCCGCTGTCCTAAAATCGGTTGTCACTACGATGTAGTTTCTACAAATGACACAATAAACGTGGTCAACAAAGTTCACTCTCCAATCGTCCAATTATAAATCAGAGAGTATACAAACCATATCACTTCTGAGAATAGCGACGTCATAGCAAACAAAAATGAACTTTCCTAAGCGCTCTCCTCAAGTGGTGGTTACGAGAAATGCAACATGCTTACTACATTGTTCCCTCTGAAGCTGCTGTATCCACTTCACTGCATACTCAAGATGCGTCCAAGTACACTTAGCAACCTGGGTGTCTTATGTAATGCTAACAATGTGTTATACTGGTTGGTATTACATTAAAAGAATAATTGTATAAAGGATATGATCAAATCATGTGCGCAGAATTTATCAATCGAATAAAATCGCGGAAATGCCCGAACAGTTTTATTTAGTGAGATGCAACCAAAAATTGGGTTCGGCAGCAGAATAGAAGAGAAATGACTTCTATAGGCTATTGTTCTCACGCCAATGCATTAATAGGGATTTTTAATATGAGGTGGTTACGAGTATTGTCTAGTTGATTTTTAACACACAGAATTGTTTCAATGTTTACACAATAATTTCAAAAATACTGAATAAACAGACAGGTGAGAGCAAAGCATACGTATGCGACAGCAGCAAGAATTGATGGAACAGACAGACAAACTCGTCCAGCTAAAGACCGACGATGATTACAGTCGCACTGCGTTACGACATCCCAGCCAGCATGACTAGTACTTTGTGTCAACTTTTACTGCTAAATTAATCACGTCGATGCTACTTTCCCGGGTCATCCTACTACACCGCTTGTTATGGACATAGTGTGAACCAGGTTTACAATAATGGTTAGTATGTATCGTTGAAAAACATTTAAAGGACAACAATTTTCCTCAACTAAATTGGATCCAAGTACTTTTCCTTATCACCAAAACAGCAACATGTTGTTATTCAAGTCTACTATCTTGGTTGCTTTATTGGCTGCTATCACCAGTGGTACTCCCGTTGCAAAGCGACACGAAAAGTACATTGCTTACCCAGTTGAACGAGGAGACGCCTCTATCAAAAGGAGATATGAGCAGGGCAGTTTTGATGGTTTTCAAGATGGTCGTGCAAACTACTTTACAAACTTGAAGTTGGGATCCAACAAGCAGGAAGTTTCCGTAATGATCGACACAGGTAGCTCGTTGTTGAATATTCCACAAACTGGTTCACAATGTCTTGGTGGTGAATGTGCCAATGGAGTTGCATTCGATCCTAATGAGTCAACAACTTTCAAAAACCTCAGCAAGTTTACAAAGGGGTATTATGGTGGTGGAGGTGCAGTGTATGTTACAGGGTTTCAACTGACTGATGATTTTTACTTTGATGGTGGCAAGAAGCTCCCAAACTTTGAGTTTACTTTGTTGAATCACACCTTCTACGCAAGGGGTTTATTGGGAATTGCTCCAAGCACCGATACAAACACCTCCTATGTTGAATCTGTTAAAAAGGCAGGATACATCAACAAAGCTGGCTTTTCACTCTACACAACCAATGACCAGCAAGGGACTTTTCTTTTAGGCGGAGTTGACAAAGCCAAATTTGAAGGGGAATTGGCTATTTACAATAGCAAGTTGTCTATCCCTGCTAAGTCATTAACTACAGCAAATGGCTCAGTTTTAGATTTCCCTGCCGAAATTCAATTGGATTCGGGCAGTTCTGGCATCATCATAGATCCTGTTATTGTTGACCAAATCAATAAAGAAGTTAGTGGTAAGGATGGCAAAATATCCTGTGACATTGCTTTGAGTGGAGACAAGAAATTCACTTTTGATCTTGGACAAGGTGTCAAAATTGATGTGCCATATTCAGATGCTTTTTACTGGAATGCCGACAAAACCAAGTGCGGCAGTCGTATTTCCAAAACTACGGCCCACTATACAACCCAAAATGTGGGAATCCCACTTATCAAACACACTTATCTTACTCACAATTACGAGACAGGCAACCTTGGTGTAGCCCCAGTTAAGCACACCGATGAGAGTAACATTGTTGATTTCTGGTTTTAAGAGGTAATATTATCCATTCTCCTATATTGTGAATAGAGTAAACAATAAAGTCAATCTATTTCCTATAATAATACAATTTGTAACTACTTTCCCCTCCCACTAGAACCAAAAATCAACCAAATTAGTGGCATCATTATAGTTTGCTTGTGCCAAACCAATCTTCTTTGAATCAAGATTGTAAGCAACATAGGCATTTTGTAAAAACAAATCACCAAAGAAATTGTTACCACCACTCGATCCGTAAATCCTAGCTTGACACAACGATCCACCTGAAAACTGGTAAAATAAACTCTTGTACGGGATGGTTATGGAAACACCAGCGAAGTTGAGTGTCAATTGATTCGTGTCTAACGATAGTTGATCACATGATGCGCTCCCTGATTCACTGAGACCAAGAGCTTGATAAATTTGTCTGGCAGTGTTTGTTTCCAATTGAATATAGGTGGTTCCGCTATCCAAGGCCACGGGGATATTGAGATCAACTTTGGATCCATCAGGGGCTGTCACGGAACCAAGTGTTATTGCTGTCCATCTATAATCTGCAAAATCAAGCACCGCCAAATCACCATTGTATTTAGCTTTATCAATGGCACCAAATACAACACTTCCACTAGATGCAGTAGCCAGATTCAAGTACAACGAGTAAGCTGTCTTGTCAATGATGCCTGCGTTTTTCAATGTAGCTGGAAAATTGGGGTACTTGTCATTAGTAGCTTCCAAATCAGGTGCTCCCAACCCCAACACTCCAGTCTCTCTACCCAGCGAAGTCATTAACCCAAATTGTATTTGCTCAACTTTGGTGCCATCAGTAAACCAAAAATCATCTTTGCTCCAATAACCCTGGGCGCCATTTCCATCATTGTAATTGTTATCCACTGATGTGGATAAATTGTGGAATGTGCTTGAAATTGATGGTGTAAAAGTCCCAATAGATTTACAGTTTACTCCATTAGTGCACGTGGCATCATTGGAAGGGAACCATAAGTCACTACTTCCAGTGTCTACCGAGACACCAATCTGCTGCTTGGTTGATCCAATTGAGACTCTAGCAAAGTAGTACAAAGTACGACGATAAATGGTTTCCGTTTCCAGTCTCTTGGAAGAAGGAGTCATATCAACGACATCAAAGTCCAATGTGTGGTATTTGAGACTGGTCGGTGATCTTTTGTCCACAGGAACAGCAAACACGAACGTCAATAGCCTCAAGATGGAAAGTAAAGTGGAGATTTGCATAGTTTTTGCCTTTGTTAAAACGAGTGTCTGTAGTTGGGATAAAGAGTGGAAGTAGTCTAGTTTGAAGCCGACCGAAGCGTCGCAGCCTGAAATTGGCCTGGATCTGAAATAGCTTTTTATATCGTGTTCGTCTAAGAAGGTGGCGAAGTTGAGTTTGTTGGAAAAGTTTTCAAATTACCCCACAACCCACATCTCACAACCCACATCTCATCTTTCTCTCTCTCTCTCTCTTGCGCAATTTAGTTTAGTGCAATCAACCAACACATTTTTGTTTACATTTCGACACCATTGGGTGGGTGTTTTGTTTACTAAAAAAAAAGCAGATGGTCTTCTATTGTTTTTACTTGTGGTGGTGGTTGAAACGGCATTTCTTCAAAGCCACATTGTTAATGTGTTGTGTTTGTTTATGGTTTGTGATTTTGGTGATTTTGTGTCTATGCAGGAACAAAAAGGTACTCGCATGTCGTATAGTAGAATCAACTTATGCTGAATGACGCTTTTTTTTGGATTTACTAACAAAACCGCGACACTGGAATGCGATACGCGGAATTAAGTCAAGACGCTCGGAAATAGGGACAAGCAGTTGAGATACATGAAAATGCATTACAATATTGATTGAGCCAAATATCAGATAGAATTGTTAGAGAAATTGCAAACACAAAGGAAAGGAATGCCACTACAATGCCGTTAAGTATATAGGATATAAATAGATAAGAGTTCCCGGTTTCTATGAGAAGTGGGAAAAGGGAAAAAGGGTGGAGAAGAATTAAGGTTAAGATTGAGACAATAGTTACTGTTCTACTTAGAACGCGTGCTACTTCTTAGCATCGATATATTCAACTGCCATGTCTGCAAGAACAGGATACATTCCAGCAAAAGCAGCAGCATTAGCACTGGATGCATTACCCATCTTGACTCTCATGGCAATTCCCTGAGAAATAACACACAATCTCAACAATCCAAACACATGTCCCAAGATCCACAACTTTGTTGGATCATTACTTGGGTCATTAGGATCCCAAGTCACATATTTCGAGTAGTTGCGCAATTGCCGATACAAGAATTCTTGCGACTCTGGATTTTCTTTACCCATCTCGGTTTGCTTCACCATCATACTGTTCAACGCTTGTGGGAACTCAAAGGGTTGCAAGAAATTCGACAAGTCAAACAATGGATGGCCAATAGTACACAATTCCCAATCCAAGACCCCACACACTTTTTTAGTTTTTGGGTCAAACAACAAATTGTCAATTTTCAAATCACCATGGATCAAAGTCAATTTGGCCGGGTCTTTTGGTGCGTGTTTCAAGATCCACGATGTGATCTTGTCGAAATGGGGGATCGGATCAACATGCTTTGATTGTAGCTTGTGGATTCCCGATAATGTCTTGATTTGTCGTTGGAAATAACTCGACAGTTTTAATTTGTCGATATTTTGAAATTGAGGGAAATGTTGCGGTGGCAACAACTTGATCAATTTCTCACAATCCAACGAGTGTATAGCAGCAATTGTCGAGATTATACTTTTCCAATACTCATCCCTTTCCTCAAAAGATGCGCCAGGGATTTCCGGGTTCTTAATTTGGATCCCGTTGACATAATCCATAATGTAGAACACGTATCCAATAACGCCTTCATCCTCACATAGCAAATGGACACGAGGCACAGGCACTTTCAAATCCAGGTCCTTATTGAGGGTATTTATACCATTCAAGATGAAAAACTCACGTTCAACAGCATGGGCCAGTTTGGAAATCAATTTAGCATTAGGACTCGGTTTTCTCCGCAAGACAAACTTGCGACCATTGGAATCTTCAAAGAAGTAAGTCGGGTTGGATTGACCAAATGTGAACTGTTTGGCAGTGGTGAACACACGGGGGATTTCGGCAACTGATCCAATATGGGTTTGTGGTGACGAGGAGGAAACGTTGGCCAAGTATTTGCTGAGGTTGTCCAAGTTGATTGGTGCGCGGATATCAGTTAACTCTGGAGCCGACATGGTGGTGGTAGAAGAGAGAGCGGGGTGGGGGTGGTTGGGGAGAGGGGAGACGGATTGTTGACTGTGTTGACTGTGTTGACTGTGTTGACTGTGTTGACTGTGTTGACTGTGTTGACTGGGTCGAGCAATCAATCAGGTTGTGCAAAATAAAATAAAAAAAAAAAAAGAAAAGAAAAGAAAGAAAGAAAGAGCAAATCTATATGTATATATATGACATGACGGCGGAGATGGATGCGTTTTTCACGATTTGGAGTGGGGAAAATTTGAAAGACCCGAAAGAGAAAGAAAAGTTCCGAAAGATGGGGGGGAGAAAAAAGAAACAAAGAAACAATGAAGTCAGAGCGAGAAAGACGATGGGGGGGAGGGGGAGCGACGGGGGAGCGACGAGGGAGCGACTGTCGCAACAGAGATCGTGCTGGAAATGAGGGAGAAGACATCGGAACGGATAAAAATATCAACCCACAACAAAGGCGCATAAAACTACTAATAATGGTAAAGAAAAAAGAAACAAAAAAACAAATAGACAAAAATATAATTCTTTGGTTCGATGTGTTTAGAAATGTAGTTAGATAGTTTTTCCCTATTTAGCAAACTATATAGATATACCTTACTTTACATTTAATGAATAGTAATTGTATATCCCACGTTGACTAAACTCAACTGGCCAACAATCCTCCACAAAGTTCTTATCCTTGTACCCATTCAAATTATAGTACCCAATAGAACAATTGACTTTACGTGCAGCATATTTCAAAAACAGCGGTTTTTTCAACTTGGTGACAATCTTTTGCCCCGTTTCCAAGTCATAATACACCAAATTGGATTGAGTAATGACACGCTGGTACTCTTCCTCTGCCATTTTGTAAATCCAACTTCTTCGTCCTTCATTGTCGTAAAATTTCCAGACTTGAGGTGGTGAATATGTCAGAAAATCATCAATGTAAGATGTAGCAATGGAGGGCAATGATGATGCTGACGATGACGAGTGCTGCTGCTGTTGTTGCTGCTGTTGTTGCTGCTGTTGCTGTTGTTGTTGCAGTAATGGTAGAGGCTGTACTCTGAAACAGTCGCCTCGTGAAGTATAGTCATATAATGACTTATAATCAAACTCAATAGCTTCTAGATTACTATTGAAATTGGCTCGCAAAAAAGTAACCACATTCTTATTGAGTGCCTTGATCCCAGTTAAATCGAGGTACTTGATGGCCAAATTATCTTGCATAAACCCATTCAACTCTTCAAGGGTCACCTGCAACGCATGACTAATATTCAAACTAACCAATTGTGGGAACTTTGTTTTGATGGCATACAAGATTCTCGAATTGACTGGCATTCCACCAATATTTAAATACTTGAGTTTTGGTGCATTCAAATGTTTCAAGGTGTACAACAAATAAACATCTGAAAGTGGACTAACGACATTGGAATCAATTTGTAAATTGAGCCACTGTAAAGAGCCATTAGCAATGGCTGGATGCGCCGACAAGAAATGAATCAAGTCCTTAGTTGTCAATTTCGAACATCTGGCTAATGACAAATGCGTCAATCGGATCTGTTGTGGCAAGTTCAACAATATGGACGAGGTTATAGCCGTATGATTCAAATCCAACCTAGTTAAATGGGCGGCATTAGTCAAAATCTTATTCAACACATCTTGTGAAACATTGGAGCAATCATGTAAAGACAACTTTGTGATGGGCAACAGCAGTCCATCAATAGTCAATTGATTGAAGGCACGAGCAAATGCTTCACTACTGGCACCGCAGAAATCCAACGCTTTCAAATGAGGCAACTTGTTGAACAAAATATTCAACACGGAAATATCCATATCATCCTGAATGTTTTCCGACGCTAAAAACTCAACAAGATTAGGCGTCATTGACAATGCATGTGCAATGGTTCTTGAAGTAACCATTTGAATCTCTTGATTCATTCTGCCCGTCCTTCCCAATCCAATAGATGTAAATTGTTGGAAATCCATAAACTCAACGTATTTCCCAATTACAATGTTTGCTGTTAAATTATGCAAAAATTTCTCAAATGAATGCGGACGATTAAAAATTGTATACTTGTAAAGAAAACAAAGTGACAATTGATGAAACTTTTTCGACAAGAGTGGCACAGTGTTTGCAAAATTCTCGAGATTGGAATTGATCGATGATATGTCAGTGTCAACATACACGTATTCAAGTACTTTGAAAAGAATTTCCAAAGGTAATGACAACAATGGTGAAAACTCCTCCACTTCTCTCTCTCCTTGTTCCTGAATACGAGGGTGAAGAGTCTCTCTAGATGTAAGTTGCAGCTGCAGCAGCGGAAGCTGCTCTCTTGTGCGTTGCATAGCCTCCTCCTCCTCCTCAATGGAGATAGGCCTGGTTCCTTTACCACCCACACATATATCTGCCCCTCCTTCTACTGCTGCCTCCACCTTCCCCATTTCTGCCTCTTTGTTTGCTTCGTCATCGCCATAGGAAGATGCTGGTGACACATCGGTCAACTCAGGCACGACACTATCTTCCAACAACTGGTGTTGAGATTGACTATGTAAATTATGATGATGGTGATGACTAAGATCATGATGGTGGTGATGATGTGGTCCAAGGTCAGGGTATGCGTCGCTCATGGACGCATCATCCGAGTAGTAATTGTACGATTCATTGGATGTGACTGGACTTAAGAAAAACGCAGATGGGTATTGGTTGCGATTATCTTCCGGTGGTGATGTGGTTGGAGTTATGGAAAGGTCATGCCGTATAGCCTGTGGGGGTTTCTCGGTGTCTGATTGTGGATCGGATACAGAAAATTGTGCCTTTAACTTGCTGCTTGTTGGTGGCTCTCTGTTCCTGTGAAAAGATAATGGTAACTTGGTGTTACTTTGGTCTGTATTGCTGCTGCTATTGCCACTGCCACTGCCACTGCCACTGCCACTGCTGTTGCTCTTTGATATTTGTTGCCCCATGCTTTGTAAAAATGCAAATATGCTACGTCTTATGTTTGATTGTATAAAATTTGACTCGTCGTCAGCAAATACGTTGTGTGATCTTCTACTGGTGTTGTTGTTGCAACTCGTATTGTTGTATTTGTTCGTGCAGGTGTTGTAGTATAAATCAGGCGACGATGGACTGAGATGAAAGTCACTGTGGTCAAGACGATTCTGCTGCAGCTGTATTATAGTGGAGATTGATGTACAAGACGAAGAAGCAGAAGCAAGGGCCAGTTGATTGTGATGCTTCTTCTGCTGCTGTTGAAGTTGTGATAGTTGTTGTTGTTGTTGTTGTGGTTGTTGTGGTGGTGGTTGTTTGTGTCGCTTATTGTTGTTGAACATGTAACTGTAGTTGTAGTTGTAGTTGTAGTTGTAGTTTGATCTGATGTGCTGATGATGGGGATAATACTTGGATCTATATATGAGAGTAAATATATATAAAATATATATATATATATGTGTGTGTGTATATGTGTGTGTATGTGTTATATGTAAGTCAATAAAAGAAAAAGAAAAAGAAAAAAAGAAAAAGAAAAAAAGATTTTAATGAATGAGTGAATGATTCTTTCTGTCTTTCAACTACATTGACAAACTCCGAAACTCCGAAACTACTATTAACTTATACTATTAACCACCACTGTACTCTATATTCAATAACAGACTGTTATATTACACCTTCTCCATTTCTTTGTCTTTATCTTATCTCACTAACATGCACTTCTCTTCAGTAGGCTTTATTGCACTTGTACTTGTAGTTGCCCTTTGCCCTTTCCCTAAGCAGAACTTACAGCCGAACCTGAAAACCACCAATTCAAATTAAACGCCGTTTACAACCGAACACAACATACAGCACAACACGTGGAAACCACAATATACTCTCAAGTAGACTTTCTATAACTACAATTAACACATACGAATGTGCAAGTGCTAGCAGTCCTTACAGTTGTATATCTCTCTCTGTGTGTGTGTGTGTGTATCTATAAGTCTCGTAGGATTCTGAATGTCGCAAAACAGAAACAGAGAGAATATGGCACACCCCACCCTGCTTTACTTTGTACTCCAACTTACCCCCCCTTTTCCCACAAACAACCCCCAATTCGAACGAATCCCACCACTTAAAATGCAAATGTTATATGTAATAATGTTTAGGAACTCAATCGCCTTCTTGCCTTCCTCTATATATTCTCCTTCTTTCTAAACACTTCCCAACACTCATTCAAATTGATAAACACCCCATTACAAATCAACTGCACACGCTTATCATTAACAGACTGCCCCGACAATTGACTAGCTAATTTGTCAGGATGTATCGAACTAATCACCTTCATGTAATTCAACTTGACCTGTTTGGGTAATACCAAATCATTCAATGTTAACGTCAACAATTTTTCATTGATATTGATTGAACCCAAGGGGATCAAACTTTGCAAGTTGATCATCATTTGACGTAAATCATTGTTCTTTTCTTGGGCCCATTTCTTGATCGAGTCATTGATTTGATCAACTACTAATGGATCTAGCTCAACTTCAGATGAAGTGGTTGAGGATGGTACTGGTTTTGTTTTTGGAGTGACTCTCACACTACTCAGCGTGGAGGTTGTATCAGCAGCAGCAGTTGCTGTCGCTTGCTTTGGCTTTGGCTTTGGCTTATAGTTGTCTGGATTGACTATCCTATCAACTCTTCTCTTCCCATCCATAACTTTCTTATCCACACATCCCAATCTTTGCACCAATAAATTATAACTCTGTAACGCCAACTCATACTTCTCCAACAACTCCAACACTTCAGCTTTTATCATAACTACTTTCAAATACCAATACTTGACAGGTTTACCACCCAACTGTGAAACACCACCGACACTATTGTCCCTGTTACATTCATCCAACTCCATCAACTCCAAAGCTTGCTCAACATGATCCAAACTCTGCTTCAAATGACCTTGTAATTTATTAGTCAATGCCAAGTTGGAGTTGACAACAACTCGTAATTCATGTTTGGATGGAAGCACAGAAAGACACTTGGAATACGACTCCAATGCAGTTGCATAATCCCCATTCTTGAACGCCTCTGTTGCTTTAGTCTTGTGTGTTGTGTAATCAGTCTCAATAAATTGATTTAATGGATTAGTATCACGTAAGTGGGATCTGGTGGAGGCTGACTGCTGACCCAAAGTGGACTCTGCAAACGTGGATATTCCCAACAAATCAATGTCATCCTCTTTTCTCTCCTGTTTCTTCTCCGTCTCCTTTTCTTTTTCGTGTTTTTCCTTCAATGACGCTGGGGAAAACAATTCCTTTCTTAGAGACTCTCCACCAAAGTTGCCTACTCCATTGAAACTCTTTGCAGCCGTAGGTCTAGGTGGTTTAGGAGGAGTATGTGAAGACTCTTTAGAGCGACTAGCAAATGAAGGAGAAACATCACCACCACCACCACCACCACCACCATTATTATTATTATTATCTCCATCCCTCAGTCCATCCTCGTCCTTACCCTCCGCAACATCACCACCTCCCCCATTTCTTTGCCTCTCTCTCTGTCTCTGATCGAATCTCAGCCTCATCCTCTGCCTCTCCTTCTCCCTTTGCGCACGCATAAACCGATCAATTTCCTCCTCATTGATATTATCCTCATCCTCTCCATAATCCTCACCTCCTTCAAACCTCTTTTCATACGCTTGTGATTTATATTTGGCTTGGTTCCTCATCCACTCGGGTAGATTGGCATTCGAGGATGCGCCACTTCCACCACTATTTCCAGCACCACTTCCTCCTCCTCCTCCTCCTCCTCCTAAGGCAAGATCAAAGGGGGAAGACGAAGTCGACCTCGCATTGTTGAACTGCTCTATGTTCTCCATCACTTTCTTTTTCGAAAAACTGAGAAATGTGTTTGCTTTTTGAAACAAATTGTTCCCTAGTTCATTGAAGTTGATGGAATCGGGACGTTTACCAAGAATACTGAAATCGTCGTCAGGCCCATCTTCATCCCCATCGCCGTCATCGAATTCAGCACCTTCTCTTGTCCTTCTTCTATTTCGAGAGTCGGATCTCAATTGTGCATTCAGCTGCAGATTAGTGTTTTTATTCATGATGTAATTGACACACTTTTGTAAATCAGTTCCTGAATGCGAAGTTGCATCATTAGCATCTTCAATACTGAATCCAATATCGACTAGTGCAGCAATTGTGTGGTCCTTGGATGAAGACGCGGAAGATGACCCAGTGCCTGTTGCGGATCTAGGTGTAGATGAACGAGATTGGTTGACTCTCGCAGAAGGTGTTGAAGATGAAATTTGCGAGCCAGTACGCACTGCTTCCGGTCTGACTGATTTGACAGGCCGTTCCACTGATTCCTCTTGCTTCCTCTGTTCTGGGAACAAGTCGGTAAAATCATCATCAAGCAACGACACCTCTTGCGGCTTGGCAACGTTCGTCTGAGTGCTCACGGAGTTCACTGTATTTTTACTAGCATCGCCGTTTCTAGGCTTATTGAAAATGGCAAATGGGTCATCATTATCATCTTGAACCACTGAGGGAGTGGGAGTACTTGATGCCGATCCCATTGCACTTGCTGCTTTGGACAGCCATGAACTTGATACTTGCGACCCATTACTCTTGGATTGGGTTGGGTGTGGAGAGAGAATATCTAGATTCGACCAACTGGAATTCAATGAAGATGTAGTGGTTTGCTTTTGTTGTTGTTGTTGTTGTTGTTGCTCCAACTTTTGACGTTCAGATAAGGATAATTTGTCGAGTTTTGTATTGAGCCCGCCGCCATTCTTCTTATTGCTGCTTGCCGATTGGAATAGATCAGCAAATGCATCCTTCTTTGGTGGCATAGTATTGAAATCGGGCAATACGCTATCTCGTGGAGTTGATGTTGCAGTTGGCTGTTTTGGTTCGTAAAATAAATTTTCAAAAATGGTTGAATGATCTGAAAAGGCGCACTGCGTAAACTGAACTGAGGCTGTAGATCAAATACTAGGACCTTCCCCTCGCAACACGGCAGGAGAGAATCGCTTTCACCAGATGGATGAACAGGAAGCCAATGATGAATACAAAGCAGTCACGTCTGTCTTGTCATCGTTCCACAACTTCCACACATTCCAATTGAACCAATTGGTGTCACCACGACTTCAAACACTTGCGACATTAACAAGTAGAGATCAACTACGATTCGTTCCCTGGTACGAGCAACACACCCAGTTCGTACAACAATGCATAGAGATAAATCGGGACTTCTGTCAACACTTGGCTGAAAAAATTGGTCAGGATTGGGGAGTCAATGAGTCGTCACCAACAGATTGGACTCCAGCATCACCTAAACAATTTGCACAAACACAGATCGTATTGCTGCGATTAATGAGAGAATGGAGTGACCAAGGTGAGCAAGAGAGGCAAGTTGGGCACGACTTGATAATATCACACTTGAACAAGTTGTACCCGGATAAATTGCATCGACAAGGTGTCAAAGTCTTGGTACCAAGTTGCGGTCTAGGTCGATTAGTATTTGAGTTGGTAATGCAAGGGTATTGGACTCAGGGCAACAATTCCGATTATCATACCTTGTTTATATCAAATTTCATTCTCAATCATTGTCAATTCCCTCATAGTTTTTCAATTTTCCCATTTTTGGCTAGCTCGGCAACGAGTTCGAAAAAGAGACGCAATCAGATCCGACCGGTTACTATACCTGATGTATCGCCAACGGCAGAGATACTAAGTGCTATGGAGAGGGAGAAGGACAACAGAAAAATTGGGGAGTCTGCTACTGAGCTGAGTGCAACAAGGATTGTGGTGCCATTTGATGAATTGATGTCGATTACAGCTGGGTCATTTACTGAGTTGTATGGATCTCGACCTAACGATGACGCTAGTCCAGCTTCGCAGGAGATTCGCTCGCAGTCACAAGGTGAATTTGATGTCGTTGTGACTGAGTTTTGTCTACATTCTGCATCGACGGAAATTATAGACTACGTACAAACAATCAATAATGTGTTGAAACAAGGTGGGAAATGGATCAATTTCGGTCCGTTACTGGGCACCAATAGTGGAGACGATGCTCGTGGTGATGGATTGGACTTGTCTCGAGATGACTTGTTTGAATTGGTTACGGAATTGGGATTTGAATTTGCCACAACGGAATTAGACATTGAAACCACGTATTGCGGAGATGCTAGACTGTTGGAGTCACACATTTACAAATGCGATTTTTGGGTTTGTACAAAAGTAAGTAAGGTGTAAACAATAGATAGCAAGTTAGTGGAGTTTAAGCTAAATGGACAATTTAATCAAACCTACTCAAATGTTGGTCTTGTATACATGTTCCTCCAATCTCTTATTTATAACATCGTCTCCGTCTTGCAATACACCAGCATCCTTCAACACGTTTGTAGTGTTGACAACGATTTTATCCCAGTCCAATGCAGCTTTACCCAATTTATCATTGAATTGTACGGTTTTGGTCCATTGCCGAGCATCTTCTGCAGAGTAATCCAAATTGTTGGAAATATAATCAACAGCTTCATCTACATGTTGGTTGAAATACTCAATTCCTCGATTCACAGACGAGATAAAGTTGTGAATATCTTGCTGCTTGGCATCAACTGCCTTGCTTGATGCAGTAATGACCCATGATGGCCACGGAGTGTAGATTTCTCCAATTTGCTTAATCTCTTCCGAATCGTAGTATTTCTTACTAGTGAAATATTCCCACATGAACGCATCACTGATTTCATAACTTGCATCACCAGTGTCGTCACTAGGTTGTTTCTTATTCACTGAATCACGAAGGTTTTTGAAATTGGAACAAACGGCAAACTCAGCAAACTTGTCAAATCCCAATTGATGTGCCAACACAAAACTCATGATATACGACCCACTTCCAATACGTGACACGCCAATCTTGCCAAATTTGGCCAAATCCAGAACATTTGTAATTTCATTCCTGTTAGACCCCGTGCTGACAGCCCACAATAATGGCGATTGCACATACGTATCTAGCAACTTGATCTTGTCGTTGCCCTTGGCGATATCGGCAACAAACGCTTCAGTTAATCCAATAGCCAAGTCAACTTCGTTGTTGTTTAAGAGATTGATCAATCGGCCACTTCCCTCGGGAACTTTGATGAAGTCGATTGACAAGTTGTGTTTGGCGTAGTAGCCTTGTTGTTGAGCGAAAAATAACGGCGTGGAGAAATGCTCCGGGATGTAGGCTACTCTAAGTGTTGACATTGCTCGTGTGGTGGTTGTGGTGGCTCTAGTGGCAGCGGGTGTGAATATGGATCTTGTGAGCTGACGAAACATTTGAAGTATTTTGTTGCTAATGGAGAGAGTTTGAAAAATTTTGTTGAGAGTGGCTTTTGGATGCAACAAAGGCAAAACAAGCACCAATAAATGGAAGATATCTACTTGGTCAGAATTGCCATAAGCATAATCCCTCCCCTTCTCCCAAACAGACTGTGCATAAATCTAGCTAGAGTAGTCAATGCATTCTATCATGAATGAAGGTGGTATCATTTGAAGACAAGAGCTATTGAAATGATAAATCTATACACTTTCAAACCCTATTTATCTCCATCAATCTTTCGAATACAACCGTACTAAGAACCGGAAATTCAGCCACTAGATTTCCAATCAATGATCTCCTCTTAGGTGAGGTGACTCCACCAAAAAAAATAAAAATAAAAAAAAAAAAAAACCAATCAAGCTCCTCTGGCTACTCCGTCACTACTTTTCAATCACTATCCAACTGGTGGCACATCCACCAGCGATCATAACGACTTTATCGGGTCCATCGTATAGCACATTCAAGTAGTCAAAAGTGATATCATCATCCTTCAGCTCCATTTCACAAGAATCATCTCTTATCTCTGATTTGCAACGATTCATTTCTCCACAATTGCCATGTTCTCCCCAACCCCATGCATACACTATACTTCCCCGCTTTAAAAGACCATGTTCACTTCCAACCACAAACTCAAAGTCCTCTCCAATGGAGTCGTAGTTGTACAATTGACCATGAGTATTTGTGCCAAAGGATTTGATTGTGTTGTGGGTTTTGAAATGTACAGACGACCACATAGTGTCCATCCATTCACCACTATCCACCTGGTCTCGTAGCTTATATATATCAATAGTTGACTTTCCAAATATATGGAAAGTATCAGATGTCAGTATAATGGTGAATTCGCGACCCAACTCAAATGTATCCACATGAGGTATGCCAAAATCTAGCTCAATGGGTTGCCAAACTGCACCTCTCTTCACCAATTCTTTATTGACGGTACCTAGTTGGCCCTTTCTGCAATTCCCCCATCCGTATAGTTTACCCTCATCCGTTTGCACAATTGTGTGATTGACAACTGTTCGTATTTTGCAAACTTTTGCATCGAATCGAATCACAAGTTTGGGGCTACTAGCTACAGAGACATCGTTGCCGAGACCCAATTCACCTTTCAACCCTTGCCCACATGCATACAATTCGTTTTGCTCCGTTAGGAGAAATGAGTAATCCCATCCACAAGAAATATCGATGATTTTATTCTGCACCGGTGTGATTCTTGTGAACACAGGCACCGCCAAGATTCCATCCGGACGTCCTGTCTGTCCAAATTCGTTATCTCCGCAACTGTATACCACTCCATTTTCCAATAGGATTAATGTATGATTGCCTCCACATGCAACTTTTATTGGCCTGTACTCAATTGTGTTTGTAAATGTCGGCTCTTCTCCTTCATGGCGGAACAAACACGGATTGAGTTTCCGTTGGTCCTCATCATTGTTCTGGGCTAACTGGTAGCTTCCATTCGACCCGCACGCTAGTACTTGGTACATGAAATTAGAAAGCCGGTACAGTTGTCTGTGTAGGCGGAATAACACATGAGCGTAGAAATGTATTTGGTATATTGCGCAACGCGCGGTTGTTTATGTGCGCTACCGTAGCAGCCAGCACCACACATCTGCGTAGTCTAGACTCACAAACCCATTACGTTATTAAAAAAAAAAAAAACATCAGGTCTGCAGAGATAACAGCAAGCAAGGAATAGATATATAGCTTATAGATATGTGGTATGTCGGGAAAGCAGCATATACTGACCCGAATAAATGTATGGATGCAATGTCGGCTGAGGTTTCGGTTCGCTAAAACTGTGGTACCCACTGCGCATATTTTTTTCTGCTGCGTCTTTGTTGTTCGGTTCCGAGCCGACAGCATTGCTCAGTGTGTGTGGGTATGTGGTAATATGTTGATGTGTTTGTGGTCTTCATAGAAGATTCATATCTAACCCTTTGACTAAAAATAGCAGTGTTTGTGTGCTTGTTATCGATGGCTACGATTGTTTCTTTGCATCCGGGGTTTAGTGATGCCCTAGCAGTATACTAATAAGAAGCTGTTACTTCTTTCTTGTCATCTTTTATTACTTCCCCTCGAAGTGCTAAAAGAAAGACAGTAAAAGAGCAAGAAGATTGTTTTTTTGGCGGTGTTGTATGTATGTATGTATGTATGTATGTATGCGGAACAAAATATGTAAGAGAAAAAACAAGAGACGCCACAGTTTTTATTTGTATAGCACAGTATGCACAGTAAGCACAGTAAGCACAGTATGCAATATGGTGGTAACTTGTGAAATATCGTCATTTATGCATCTTGACACCTCTCTCTCTCTCTCTCTATCAAATGCAAACCACAGTTTAATACTTCTTATACACGCAGAGGCAAAAGTTCTAATGTGTCACGTGCTGCTTACTCAGATACTAACACACGAACATGCATATATAAACCTATATTTCCCTTCCTCGAGAGCTATGATCAAATGGTGTCTTCTAGGCATCACTTCAACATCTTAATATCTCGTCAATCATGGCACCGGTGGCAGTTTCAATCGAAGACAAGTACGACGCTTCTCAATTCCAATCGGCTCACCAGGGCAAAACAAAGAAAGGCAGCTACACTGTCAGTGAAGAAAACAAGAGACAAGCTTTATATCCAGAGTATTTGCCTACTTGGAACCCAAATCAAAAGTTCCCACCATACAAGTTTCAAGAGTATCATGATAAAGGTTTGCAAGGGGATTCAAACTATAGGAATCTCCTCTCCAGCGACAAGCAATACCAAATCAAGAGAATGACACCCAAGTTGGGCTCTGTTGTTGAAGGTATTCAGTTGAGCCAATTGGATGACGCAGCCAAGAATGACTTGGCTAGACTCATCAGTGATCGTGGAGTGGTTGTGTTCAAGAAACAAGATTTCAACAATTTTGGTCCTCAATTTGCTGTTGACTTCATGAAGTACTTTGGCACTTTACACACCCATCCAACTTCAGGTGCACCAGAAAACCATCCTGAAATGCATATAACCTTTCGTGGCGCATCTCAAAAGGAAATTGACTCTGTGTTCAGGACTAGTTCAAACTCTATATTATGGCACAGTGACTGCTCCTATTCACTTAATGCTTTGCAATTGACGTTATTTTCATGTTTGCAGCTTCCTGAAAGTGGCGGTGACACATTGTTTGCCAACACGGTTGAGGCTTATGATAGATTGAGTCCTGCAATGCAGCAACGATTGGAAGGATTACATATCTTGCATTCTTCGGTTGAACAAGCTGAAGCTAATAAAAGAGCAGGGGGAATCACGCGGAGAGAGCCAGAGACTAATATCCACCCTATAGTCAGAGTCAACCCAACCACGGGAAAGAAGTCTCTTTACGTGAACAAAGAGTTTGGAAGAAGAATAGTTGAGTTGAAACAGGAAGAGTCAGATTACCTTTTGAACTTCCTTTATGACCACATTGAAAGAGCTCAAGATTTGCAAATTCGTGTGTCTTGGGAACCGGATACCGTTGTGTTTTGGAACAATGCAACCACGGTGCATACTCCATGTGTGGATTTTGATGAGCCTGTGATTAGACATGCCTATAGGATCAGTGTGATGGGAGAGAGGCCTGTTTCCGATGTCAGGGACTTGAATGATCCAAATTATTTGAGTGAAAAGTACAAAGAGTTGGGTATTTAGTTACTCTTTATTTGACAAAGTTTTTATGTAGTTATGAAAAAGTTTATGTTTATAATAGAAGGAATTTATTTCAAAAGGTCCAATATTCTACCTATACTCTAACTGCGGTGTCAGGTGCTGGTTATTTATGCCACTCTGATGTTCTTACTCATCTACAAGCACATTTACTTTTCCCTTCACTTATGATACGTAAATTTTCGGCTAATCTACTTCTCTAACAACACGTAGAAGATGATTTCCTATTGTCAACACTAAGATCGATTCTATTCTCATTCACATCTGCATTATTACTGCCTGATGAACCATTACCACCATGCTTACGACTATCGGGAATCTTCTCCCCAATCCCAACAAACACTTCATTAACATTGTAAGATGTCTTTGCACTAGCTTCAAAAAACAACAACCCTTCCTCGTCGGCCAACGCTTGTCCTTCTTCCTTACTAACTTTCCTCAACAATTCCAGATCTCCTTCTCCTGCTGTTGCTGCATTTCCATTCTCAGGTTCATCCTCAACCAAATCATATTTGTTTCCAACAAGTGCAATGGTGATATCCTTACTAGCTTGCTCGTGTAGTTCCTTAACCCAATGTCTAGCCTTGACAAACGATGCAGGTTTAGTGATGTCATACACCACAATAGCAGCCTGGGCATTTCGATAGTACATGGGTGCTAGAGACGCAAACCTTTCTTGTCCCGCAGTATCCCATATCTCGTACTTGATCGTACGATCGCCAATGGTGCACTTTTGCGTTAAAAAAGCAGCTCCAATTGTGGGCTCTTTGTTTTCTTGAAAGTCATTTGACACAAACCGCAATACCAAAGATGACTTACCAACGGCCGCTTCTCCAAGTAGCACTAGCTTGACTGATGTGGCTGGCTGTGGATGGTTAGTGCTCATTGTGTGTGTGAAGAAAGTGCTAGATATAAATGACGTAATAGGCGCAGGGGTGGGGGGGGTAAAGAGGGCAAAAAAAGTGACGATGATAAATGTAAGCCTAAGTTTGTGTGTGTGTGTGTGTGTGCGTGTGCTTATCTGTAGCTAAGCGATATCGTATATGAAGACACGTAGATCGCTATCTGTGTATGTACAGTGTGGTAGTAATAGTAATATGATGTAGAGTAGAGATGTTTCTCTCTGTCTCTGTCTCTGTCTCTTGTGATAAGAGACAAAAAAGTGTGTGATCTCTCACTTCAATCTTTTCTTCTGTTTGTTTGATTGCCACAGACGATACAAACAATAGAAACACAGAAAGAGAATATTTTAATTCCGATCACGCTTTTTGGCCATTTACACACTACCTTTACGATATAAATACCGATTTCAACTACAGCCAATTTAAGATACCTTGAAAACCTTGTCCGTTGTGGATAGAGCACCAATCTTATATCTACGTACACGTCCTCGTATACACATATCACTACAATGAAGTTATCTTGCTTCAACATGTATTCACCAACATACACGCAGTACAAGTATCTCTCGCCCCATGTCAAAACTCTTCCACTTCGAGTATAATCTTTCCATCATTCTCCTTCAAAGCTTTTACATACTTCTTGTAATCTTTTCTCCAATCAACAAACTTGTCAATTCTAAACTTCAACTTCCCATCTAGCACCAACTGAAGTGCTTGTTCGGTCCAGCTCTGCTTGATTTTCAAGTATATCTCTTCACTGTAGTTGTATGACGTCCAGTTGTTCAAAATGTTGCTTGACCATTTACTAGTCCACGGGTTCATCACACTCTGCTCACTGAAATCAATCAATTTGTCAATATTGTAGCTGGGGTCTTTTAATGTGAATTTGCATCCACTAACCACTGCAGATCCCAACTTCTTCGGTTTGAGAATCCGGGTAAGAAAGGGTTCTTTGACATTTGCATTAAACAAACTCTCAATCGAAGTGGATATATGTTGTTTGAATGGCAAGTTTAGAGTTTCAATTTCATGCAATTTGGTCGATGTAGATTGGAAATATTTCTTACATCCAATCAAGTCAACAAACAAATCCAACTTGTATTCATTAACGTTTGAAGCGTCGATAAGTTCATTACTGTGAGGCACCAATAACGCATCAATAACCTCAGTAGCAAAGAAGTCGGGTTTTTTGTAACTTATAGGAACTCGCTCTCCAGGGAAGTAGAGTCCATCATTGACAACGTCAAACGGAATGCTCTTGATTCTTCTGATCTTGGTTGGATCGTAATACTTTTTTTCAAATCGAGCCACCAATTGATCCATATACTCCAGTGATTTTTCTCTAATAACAAGAATGAGACTCAAGAATTCAAATTGGTACTCAGCTAAGAGCACTTGTATTATAGTCAACCCAATATCAGTGTCCGCCCCATTGATTAAAATATTGACCTTCTTGTTCTTTGTGTTCAACGGTTGGAGCATTTGCTTGGCTCGGTTGTAGAGTAGCGAGATGGCAGACAATTTAGCCAATGGTGGCAACTTTTCATTCTTGGATTCCAAAGTCAGTTTGCTAGTTTTAGACACCAAATCATCAACACTCGGGTCTGTGACTTTACTCTTTGTAGAATCTTTTAACTCGGGTCCTTCTGTGTCCTTTGCCGCGTCCTCTGGACCTTTTGTCTTTTCAGCTGCTGCTGCTGCTCCTGCTTCTGCTGCTGCTGTACTGTCTGCCAGTTCAGTATCCTTAGTCTCTACTGGCTTTGTTGGCTCTTCTTCCTCCTCATCCTCTCCCACATCAAACGCCTTGTTGTCATCATTAGCTCCCAAATCAATCTCGATATCCTCCAACTGATTCAAAACCTCTTCACTCACTTTAACCAAGACATCCCTCCCCGGGTAAATAATCTGACTGGAAGATAAAGCTCCTCTTCTGGAAGTAGGGTCAATCAACCCAAACACATAATCACCCACGGAAAACTTCTTTTGCATTGAGGATCCAACATAAGTAACAACACCAGCAAACTCGTATCCCAAAACCACCTTCACTTTACTCATATTCAACAAGTACTGGTTTATTTTACTCAAATCAAACGAGTTTAGTGACCCATACTTAATGTCAACAATAACACTACCGGATGCTGGGGGCAAATCAATTGTTGTGTAATGAAACTGCAACTCAGTCTCCTTATTCTGTACCGAAAGATCCTTGATATCGAAGAATTTCAATTTACTCAAGTCCGGCAAATCCGATACTCTCAATCTACTATTTGGCTTAGCCGGTTTGGGGGTTTGGTCAATTGGCTTTGGTGGTGGTGTTTGCATATTCCTTTTTTCCAAGTACGCAAGCTCAGCCGGAATCTTATGGAATGGCGATGACTTCAACTCTGCTTCTTCCTTTTGCTTTAAATACTTGTGGTACTCACGTAAGTCCTCCTCTGGTGGTGGAGCAAACCCAACTGATTTCTTCTTGGGGCGGTTTGTTGGAGATGATGGAGTAGGTTCAGCTGTGGAGCCAAGATCGACACTATTCTCTTGATATGGTGGTGCTTGTTGCGTGAGATCTACTTCCGAACCCGATGTAGGTACGTGTTCCACATCTGACATGGCAAAAAACGTGAACCTTCTTGATGTGATTGGCAAAAGAAAAGACTCTTGCTGATTTATGCTGCTGAAGACAGAAAAGCTAGAAGAAGATGCCAAGGGGGGGGAGGGGGTGGGGGATAACTAATTTTACAGCCGATGATGTAATTGCTTCCGCGCAGATTAGACTACATATACGCACGTGACTCGCAAGCAGAGCACACTGATCGAGCCTGATCAAGCTCAACCACACACTTAATCATCTACAAAAGAGATGCCGGTGTTTGCATACAAGATGGCCCAGCTTTACCTGTAATGGGTGGTAATGGTGCTTGTGAATCGCTCCTTGTAGATCAACATCATGTGCAAGAGACAAGGAACTCCCCAATTTCAACCAGAGAGAACCTGTAGTTGAATCCATAGTGGAGCAAAGTCACTCTTGGTTCATTATAGTTGAATACGTTCAAACTGTGTTGCAAGTTTGTTGTTGCTGGTTGTTCTGTTGGTTGGCTGTGAGTTGTTGTTAATTTTTGGTATTGAAGTTGCGACTGTGAGATCGAAACAAGCGGAAAAAGTAATGTCACAGAGAGATCCTCCTATATCTCACGATCAAGATCAGTTCAAGTACACCACTGAACCCCCTGTACACAGCTACCCTGCAGACCTTGCTTTTCAATTACTCTCAGATAGAACCCCATTCAGTTGAAGTACGCGACAGAGATGTGGGTTGCATCAGCAGTATGCTATCTTCTAATATTGCTTCTTTCACTACTAGGGATAAGATATCACATTAACATCTTCAAGTACCCCGTATACTTGACTATACCGTTGACTTTGGGCATCTACATTCCACTATCTATCATATTCACCCTTCCCGTGGACTATGTCTCCCACAATACCCAACTGACAGCCGAGATAGCTTGGTTTGGGTTACCTGATACTGTCATTTTATACATTTGGAAATCAAACTATTGGATCACCTTTATTCTCACGTGGATTATATTACCCATGGTATTAGAGTTTTACAGATCGGGGCATCACGACACTTACAGTAAAGTCAAGGATGCCATTAGGGAAAATTTGAAGTTTCAAGTTATCATGATCTCGGTCTCATTGGTTGGCCTTATCTACTTGTTGATTGAAGTGGGACTCAATTTGAATCACTTGAAATTGATGATCATTGCCATCTCCCATGTATACTCTTTGATCTTGGCGACATGGTTGATGGGACATGGATTGACCAGTATACCGCGCAACAAGTGGATTCAGGGATCAGTTGTCAATGATTTGAACCACCACTATCTCAAACTCCCAAAACTTGTTGATGAGTTGGAAGACATAAGAATCACGTTCAGGGAAGATGTTTTGAAGGTTGTTGTTTTGAAACAAAACTACACTAGCGAATCAATTGAAGATTTCAAGTATCGCGATTGGATCTTGAATTTGTACGACTCCGTGCCCGGTGAAATTAGAGAGCAAGTGGAAAAGCAGTATTTGCATGAAAATACAGTCATTGATCGCGATCAATTGAATGATCAGTTTATGACCAACTTGAACTCGCTGTTTAATCTGGATTTGAATAGGCTTATTGGGTACCAATCGGAGTTCAATAGAATAATCTCGAAAATTCTCAGGTTGGAAGACGTTTTGAACTCAGTCTCATCACGAGAATTGGTGTTTAGGGTGGACAACCACCGTGTCCTATGGAGTCCTAGATTTAACTTCATTTATTGGTACTACATCAGACCCATTTCCAACAAAATTGCAGCAACGGTACTAGGGTTGGCGTCACTTGTGATTTTGCAATCTGAATTCTTCCATTCAACAAAAATCTCATTGATGAATGTATTTGTCTACTCAACCGATATTCACAATCACTCACTTGTGCAATTTGCAATTTCTTGTACAACATTTTCCTACATGTTGTTTGCCGCGTTGAACTCGTTGACACAGTTGAAAATCTTCAACATGTACCATTTGGTGCCACGGAATTCTGATCCGGTACTGGCTTGCTGGTATGCCATGTACATTGCGAGATTGACAATTCCGTTGAGCTACAATTTTATAACATTGTTTGTCAGTCGAGAGTCCATCTTTGAAAAGTGGTACGGTCAATCAGTTCATCTCACTGGGTTATTCAATTTGCTCAATAACTGGATTCCAAGGTTGATTTTAGTACCAGTTTTGTTAGCAATGTTCCATGTCTATGACAAGGTGAAGAAAAGACTTGGATTTGGAGACTTTTACGACTCGTGGATATTATTTGACGAAGATGACGGGCAAGACAATGGTGATGACTTGAACAAACGGTCGGATTTGGTGATTGTTGAAGCAAAGAGAATCGTTTCCAGAGAATTGTCCCGCCGACAAATGCAGCTACGCCCTTTCCATTTGGCTGGGGGCAGTACCGACAACATCAGCACATTGAACCCAGCCGATGTCAATTATGAAAGAAGAAGACAGGAGTTTAACAACTCACTTGCTAACAGGATTGACAGTTCTCCAGAAGAAGAGCCTGTTTATTACAATGGCACATTGAATGCTGCTCCTTTGGACAATGGTATATGGGGAAGAATCAGTAATACAGTTGGTGGTTTTTTTGATAGGGGAAACCGCAACAGAAGCACGCAAAGACCGTATAGAGACGAGCCGTTAGATGATTTCGATTACGACAACGATGCCAATGAGAATATAGTATTATAGGAAGCGCATTTAATAGGTGCTGTATAGAAGCAGCATTAGATCTGTGTATTTGCAGTGAGCTGAACGGAAATGCCATTTACTCTTGAGGCTATCGCACAAAACCCAACATTTTTTAGCTTTTCTGTTTCGTTATAATAATATCCGAAGTTGCTTGGAACCCGGAATCTGAATCCACAACAACAGCAAAAGCAAAAGCAACAACAACAACATCTTCTTCAACCATAAATAGGGCTTGCAACAGCTATTTTCACCCCCTTTTAATTCAGCATACATGTCAATTGCAATTGCCCACAAATGTCGAATAGCGAAAAAGTGCTCCCCACTAATATCGTCCCGTTTTATATCTGATTCAGTAGTTTTCACACCAGTAGTGCGATCTTCGCCGGAAACAGCCCAGCCCAAACTGGAAGGGAAATTGCGTGTCAAACTTCTCAAAAGTCCGTCTCATTTGGGCCACTTTACAAGCAGAGTGAATCGACCATACAACGAGGACAAGTACAGTGCCAATGTTTTGAACATCAAGGGTAAAGAGGTCTTCAATTTCAATATTTTTGACGGACATGGTGGAGACCAATGCAGTACATACCTAGCAGAGAACTTGTCACTGAATGTTGAGAACAGCGACGATATGGTGAAGAAGAAAAAAGCTAGAGAAGACCTAGTTAAAAAGTATGCCAAGAATGTGGGGGGGTACTGGAAGCGGTGGTTTAAGCATCGAGAAAAGACATTCGCTACATGGCAAGCGGACAAACTACCTATCAAGGGCTTTCAAAAGGACCTCGAAAAGAACGACATTCTGTTTCGGTTGCCTCTTTCGTTCCTCAATACAGATTATGAGTTCTTCCAAAAGGAACAACAGCTGGGGTCTACATGTACGTCAGCATTCTTTCAAACAATCTACAATAATCCGGTCAAATCCCTACCTGTAATTGAGAACTACTACTTCAACCGGAACACCATTTCCTTGTTGACAATATCCCACGTGGGCGATACAAGAGCTATACTAGTTGACAAGAATGGGTTGGCAAATGCATTGACAGTAGACCACCACCCTCTGAATCCATTGGAAAACAAACGACTTCGAAGATATGCTGCCAATTTTTTCATGACTGACTCCTTTGGAGAAGAGCGATTCATAGCTTTGGCAAACACGAGAGCATTTGGAGATGTCAGTTACAAGGAAATGGGGGTCACTGCAGAGCCAGAAATAACTCAGTTGGTTATTGGAGACTCCAAAGAAATTTCTCAAAAGCTCACATCTGACGAAATCAAGAGATACACTGTTGGTGGGCTTGGTGGTGATGAGTGTTTTCTCGTGTTGTGCACAGACGGAGTAACTAACGTGTTGACCGATCAGGAAATTGCAGACATTATAATGACACACTATAAAAGACTGGGGCATGTCAAGGCTACTCCGCAGTACTGTGCTCAGGAAGTTATCAATTTCGTTGAGTTTGTTGGGGGTGACGACAACGCAACAATCCTCGTGATAAGACTAAATGGATGGGGCCATTGGCCCAATATAGATAGAACCGGGGAGTTGAGACAACAAAGATTAGACGACTACAATCCAAGACGAAACAGTGGTTGATTCATCCCTCACTGTGTAAAGTTTTATACATTATAGAAAATCTTTAGACACACTTATATATATATATATACATGGATTCGTAAATTGGGCTGTTTTAATGGGTTCCTAATTCTTGGAGTATTTGTACATAAATCTCTTTCTCGTTGGTGCAAATTCACCCAACTTGGAGCCTACCATGTCGTCAGTGACTTCAACTTCGACATAATCTTTTCCGTTGTGCACTTCAAATTTAAGTCCAACAAATTGTGGTATTATTGTACAATTGCGAGCTTTTGTTCTTATGCTTGATTTGTTCTTGATGGCTTTCGCTATTGGTAATGGCACTATGTGTGGTCCTTTCCAAGCCGACCTGCTTAGAATATGTAATGAGGGGTGCATGTCGCTGTAGCCTGTGTGTGGATTGTTGTAAAGTGATTGATTGATACACCAGATTGACAATTTTTTTTTTTTTCAGAATTTTTTTTTTTTTTTTTCCTTCGTCTTCGCTTTGGTTGTAGCTGCTAATCAAGAGTGAATTAGAGCAGTGAAGCTTGGCAGCGATTGGCGATGTTTGGCACCAGGTACGATCCAGAAGATCGTGATTCTGTACATGCTCTGAATAGCAAGAGGAAGAGGGAAGAGGAACTGGATTCAAGTGACAGCGAAGAGGATGAGGTACACGTCAGTGAGGAGGGCAGAGATGATGCAACAACCGAAGCCAATGATAACTCCGATCTCGAAACGGAAGAGACGCAAGCAGAATCTGACCCTCTGTATCAATCCAAACATCAAGCAGTATTCAGCAAATATAAGCAATCAGTCGCCGCAGTGGAGCAGTCTGAGTCCGCGCATAACGAGGATAAGGAGGATGATGAGGAGGAGGAGGATATCGTAGACACTCAAGACCTTGCTCCGCTTCCACAACCTCAGTTACCTCGAGATAAGAAGCTCGCATCAACGTCCCAGTACTCTAGGAACTTAGATTGGCTAACGACACCGCAGTATGTAACACCAGATGATAAACTTTCCTTTAGAGAGCTTGGTCTTGATGAGGTTGTTTTGGATAATCTCACATCACAAGGATTGAGCGAAGCATTTGCGGTGCAAGTTGGTGTTCTCAAGAGGATGATACCAGAAATTGCAGCTAATAAAAGGCGACCGGATGCGTTTGGTGATATACTTGTGAATGCTTCAACGGGATCAGGTAAGACGTTGGCATACTCCATTCCAGTCATTCAAGCGCTACATAATAGAGTCGTTCCTCGAGTGAGGGCTATAGTATTGGTGCCAACAAAGCCGTTGATTAATCAAGTGAAAACTGTCATGTTGCAGCTATCACTGGGTACTAATCTATCCGTCGTTGGGTTGAAAAATGACATATCGATCAAGGAAGAAAGTGAGAAATTGGTGAAAGCAGTGCCTGATATCGTGATCAGCACACCAGGAAGACTAGTTGAACATTTGAATCTAGGCTCAATCAATCTAACTTGCTTGAGGTTTCTCGTTATTGACGAAGCTGATAGACTTTTGAATCAATCTTTCCAAAACTGGTCACTGGTACTCATAGACAAGATTAACGAACAGCAAAATCACGACATATCGAAAAGGTGGAGTTTGAGGACTCAAAAGTTGATCTTTTCCGCAACCTTGACTACTGATGCTGGGAAGCTATCGAATCTCAATTTTTATAAACCAAGGCTCATCATTGTCAACGATACAGAACGGTTGGTCAATGAAATGTTTAGCGTGCCGCCATTGCTATCTGAGTATACGATTCATTACGGAGTTGCCAAAAACTCGTTGAAACCATTGATACTTGCAAAATTCCTCATTTTTCAAGATAAGCTTGCCAATGTGCTAATATTCACCAAATCAAACGAATCGTGTATCAGACTATCAAAACTTTTGCAGATTATCATGAATGCACTTTCGATACAAGTGAATGTGGGATTCATCAATTCAACAAATAATCGAACATCTACAAGAGCTCGTACTTTGAAAGACTTTTCCAACCAAAAAATCAACATTCTCATTGCAACCGATTTGATAGCGAGGGGTATAGATTTAACAACAATAACTGATGTTGTCAATTACGATCTACCAAACTCGTCGCGGGAGTACGTTCACAGAGTCGGTCGTACGGCGAGAGCCAATCATGCAGGTAATGCTTACAGTTTTGTGTTTGGAAAAGGTGAATTAAAGTGGTTCAACACAATATCAAAGGACATTGGTCGTAGTGGAAGGGCAGTTGAGCCGTTCGAGATGAATTTAGGTAATGTTATCTCAAAGCAAGACGAGAATGTTTACCAAAGAGCATTGTTGGATTTGCAGCAACAAGCAAGAATGTGAGGAGTAAATAGGGCGATTTCTCGCAGTAAGGTTTTACTGTTGAGTATATTGATTGCCATACATAGGGACTAGTACATATACTTACGCTCTGTGCTTATCTTTAGATACGATTTACTAGTCCGGTGTGTGATTGTAGGATGTTTTCCCATAATGTGAGCGATGATGGCAATTTGCGATCTTTGGGTAAAACTGTGTCGCACAAAAAGTTGCTAGTGTAATTATATCTCCCTAAAGAGCACACAGCAGCAATATCACACCACACAAGAAACTATGTCATGAGTGATGTTCAAGTGTTTGACCAAACAGACTTGGAAAACTCAATCACCAACAAGGCCAACAAGCTACTTTTAATAAAGGATATCGAGCAAGATGAGAAAAGACTAGAAAAGGCCATCAAGACCCTTAACGTGACTGTTAAACACATCAACCAGCTCAATACCAAACTATCTCATCCTCGTACGAAGATCAGTGAGAAGAAGAAAATCAAAGATGAGATACAGTGGCTTGAGGAGAACGAGCTTCACGTTAAGCAGCAGGATGTGCAAGATATCAAATCGCGTATAAGTCTGAACAAAAGGGCACTTGAAGAATCGAAGGAGAACAACAATGAGCAAGAGAGCGGAGGAGGGAGGCTCCCGGATGAAAGTGAGCGTGACTATTTGGTCAGAATTGGTAAAATCACGGCATTTGGTAACGAAAACGCGTTTCAACTGGCTGACGCCGATGAGAGCCAAAGTCATGTCTTTTTGCGAAGACCGGGGTTTGAGCAGGATGTAGAGATACTAGAGAGCTCTTCGTTTGGCGAGGCGAAAGAAGACAATCAAGCATCGGTTGACAATCAAAATTGGGAAGAGTTGGAGGTTTCAAGTGGCAAGCAAGCCCCAGATGACGACTATGTATATGACGAGCAACTCGCAGAGGAGGAGGAAATGGCAGATCAGAAGGATGACGAAGAAGAGGAAATTGAAGAGGAGCTGGTGGAAGATGAAGAGATTCGAAACATTGATGATGGTAACGAGTCGTACTATAAAAAGAGACTATCAAATTGGGTCAAGAAGAGGTCCTCGTTGAGAAAAGTGGACGATAGCACTGACAACAAAGAATGGTTCAAACCGCATCCGACAATACCTGATTCGAAACTTAATGAATCTTTCAAATTACCAGGTGATATATATCCATCTTTGTTTGACTATCAGAAAACATGCGTTCAATGGCTCTGGGAATTGTACTCGCAGAAAACTGGCGGTATAATTGGTGATGAAATGGGACTTGGAAAAACCATCCAAATCATTTCATTTTTAGCTGGATTGCATTACTCTGGACTTTTAGACAAGCCTGTTTTGGTTGTGGTTCCTGCGACTGTGATGAACCAATGGGTAAATGAATTTCATAGGTGGTGGCCGCCACTCCGGTGTGTTATACTACACAGCATTGGATCAGGGATGGGGGGTGATGCAAAGGTTAGTGAAGCGAAAATGGAGGAATATTTGGAATCTTGGGATCCCCAAACTTCGCAAAAGTCGTTAAAGGGGATTAAAACTCAAATCAATGCTCAACAGATAGTAGATACTGTTGTTTCAAAGGGTCATGTTTTGATAACCACGTACGTTGGTCTCCGAATTTACTCCAAGTATATTTTGCCGCAAGAATGGGGGTACTGTGTTTTGGATGAAGGTCATAAAATTCGAAACCCAGACTCGGATATCTCGCTCACATGCAAGCAAGTCAAAACTGTCAATAGAATCATATTGTCGGGAACTCCAATTCAAAATAATCTAACCGAGTTGTGGTCTTTGTTTGATTTTGTTTTCCCGGGTAGGCTCGGCACGCTACCTGTGTTTCAGCAACAGTTTTCAGTTCCGATTAACGTAGGCGGTTACGCAAACTCAAACAACCTTCAAGTGAAAACCGCTTATAAATGTGCTGTTGTTCTTCGAGACTTGATCTCCCCTTATTTGCTCAGACGATTGAAGAATGATGTTGCTAAAGACTTGCCAAAAAAGAGTGAAATGGTACTTTTTGTGAAGTTAACAAGGGTACAACAAGACTTGTATGAGAAATTTCTCGACAGCGAGGACTTGAATTCGATCCTCAAGGGGAAACGAAACGTGCTTATGGGGGTTGATACGTTGAGGAAAATCTGCAATCATCCCGATTTGATATACAGGGAAGCATTAATGCACAAGGCAAACTATGGTGATTCTCGAAAGTCAGGTAAGATGCAAGTTTTGAAAAATCTTTTACAACTATGGCAAAGTGAAGGACACAAGACTTTGCTCTTTTGTCAAACTCGACAAATGCTCGATATTTTGGAGAAATTTGTGGCTAATTTGCCATTGCTCAATGACGGACCAAGACATTTTACATTCCTTCGAATGGATGGTTCCACCGCAATATCCAAAAGACAAGACTTGGTTGATGAATTTAATAATGACCCCAATATTCATGTCTTTTTGCTCACCACCAAGGTGGGTGGTTTGGGAGTTAATTTGACTGGTGCTGATCGAGTTATCATTTACGATCCTGATTGGAACCCATCGACTGATATACAGGCTAGAGAACGTGCTTGGAGATTGGGTCAGAAGAAGGATATAACTATATACAGATTAATGACAACTGGTTCGATTGAGGAAAAGATTTACCATCGACAGATTTTCAAAACCTTTTTGCAAAATAAAATATTGAAAGACCCCAAGCAAAGGCGGTTCTTCAAGAACAACGATTTGCACGATTTGTTCACTTTGGGGGATCAAGACGAAAAAGGGACAGAGACCGGAGATATGTTTCGTGCCAAGAGTGAGCAAAAGTATAGAGGTACAAAGCTGAGGAAATCGTCATCGTTGACAAGAAAAAGACACGAAAATGATGATGACTATGGTCAAGTTGCCAAAATATCTGGTGTGTCGGGATTGAATGAGTATGAAGAGGGAGAAGAGCATAGGCCAGAGAGTAGTAACGATGAAAGCCGAATCATGGCGGGTATATTTGCTCAGAGTGGAGTCGTCCATAGTGCATTGAAACATGATGATATCATCAATTACAATGACGAAGAAGCCAGGTTTGCTGAGCAAGAAGCTGAAAAGTATGTGAGTGAGGCAACTGAAGCGCTTCGTCGATCAAGGAAACTAGCTAGAAGAAAACCAGTAGGTACCCCAACTTGGACAGGGAAATTCGGAAGCGCCGGTAAATTGAAAGGTACTTTTGGTGTCAAGAAGAGAAAAGTCGGCGAGGGAGACTCATCCTCGATTTTGGAGAATTTGAGAAGGAGAGCTAAAGACTGAGTAATGCTGCGTATAGCCTAAACATTTGTAAGTTTAGCTGCAACTATATATTCATGAAGTAGATGATCTATTTATTCATTTCCGCAACACTTTGTCTTGATAGACTCAAAATCGCTAACCACTTCTGAAACACTTTCTTCCTCTCCCACAAGAGTCTCAATATCCTCACCTCTTACGTCCGCTTTTTCGGGGTGCATCAAATTTTGGTCTACGAAGTTATTTCTTTCAACAACAGGACGCGGCGCGGATTGATTTTGATGGGTACTCGGACGCTGAGTTGGTGTTTTATTTAACCAGTAAATGGTGTAAATTGCACAACAGAGTAAAAACAACCCCGCAACCGACAATATTATTGTGAGTGGGCATACTTTCAGAAGCCAAAAATCATCATCCGATGCCTTCGTTTTGTTCAAAGTCATAGATTGGTTAAACTGGGCATGAGATCCTGTTGGGGTTGACCCACCATTGTTACTCCCTGGTGTTTTTTTATCTCCATCGTTGTTAGAGCCACCAGATCCGAATAAGAACATGAGCGGAAATGAGATAATAAAACCAAGCATTGTCTCGAAGCAAACCCTGTTAAATTCAGACGTGGTGCTCGAAACCATAGTTGATGAAACGTGTTGTGTACGTATTTATATGTAAAATAGGTGGAGCAACTCAATGCCGCGTGATGTACGGAGAAGCCATTTGGGTGCAAAAAAAGGTGCTACAAGAGAGGAAGGTGCAGTTGCGAGAGAGAGAGAGAGAGAAAAGCGTGCAGCACACAGTTCGCAGCGTCAATTCGGACAAGCTCACAGCAGAGTGAAGTGGGTTACGCTAAAACGCAGAGATGATAAAAGTCGTTTCTTTTGTTGATCGTGGGTAGAATATATGAAATGTTCTGGTTCTGAATGTAATTCCGAAACGTTCATTTTTTCAACTCACTAAAATCAGCCCAATTGCAACATAGCTGTAGATACAACTTCTGCCAACATCGGTGGGTTCGTGGTCAGTTTACTTCTATGCTAATAACAACTCCATAATGTACCTAATCACTTTAACTGAGAGAAACTATGAAAAAAATGTCATGTCCATATATTTATTACTTGCAAATCTGCATATTTCAAAACATCATATGAGAAAAATCCAAATCGCTCTTCCTGGGATTTCCAAGCTCTTCCTCTCCAACAAGAGTCTCTAGGTCTTCAACTTTCGTGTAAGCCTTTTTAGGAAATTCTAAATCAGGCTCGACAGAATCATATGGTTGAACGGGGCTCTGTTGATTCTGATTCTGATGCTGAGATTGACACTGACACTGACACTGACACTGACACTGATGCTGTTTCTGTTTCTGTTTCCGACTTCGAGATCCGGTATCCACTGGCATACAAGCTACGCACAAGCCTATCCCGCCGAATACCACAAGCACCACAAACAATGTCCCTACTAATATCCAGATCCACAATCCATTTGGTGTATTTTTTTCAGTTGCCATTGAATTCTTCAAGTGGCTGGACTGATTAAAATGTGCGCCATATATCGTTGAATCTAGTACACCACTGTTTCTTGGTTCGATTTCTGTCTCACCACTTGCACTTTGTTCACTTCCAGCGCCATCTAGTAACAAAACAAGCGGTATTGCTAATAGTAAGCGAATCATTGAGGTTGTAACTAACAAACGCACTTCCAATTACAGCAAACTTTTTCTCTTTGAAAATAAAGGATATCTGGTGCATATATAATTACAGTTATTCCTGAGGATCTCCTTTAAAGAGAGTGTCCAATTACCATGTTGTTGAGGGTAGAGGGGGGGTAATAAAGTAAATAACACAAAATGGTGGGACTATCAATTCAAGGAAAGTATAAGTCTCTATTAAAGTGGGAAAGAACAGCATTAGTGAACTAATGGTTTTGGCGCCACCTTGGCGTGAGGATCTGCTTCTCTTGTTTCACCAAATTCAGGATAGGTGTTGTATCCATAGTCAAATGTTGTGTAAAAAGTTGATCTATCATAGGCATTCAAGTCTTGGCCGTTCTTGATTCTTTGCGGAAGGTCAGGATTGGCAATAAAGTGTCTTCCAAACCCAACCAATGTACGATCATTTGCGTCAGCATCTTGAAGGATTTTCTTCCATCCCTCGTTTTTATCTTCGGTGTAGTTTCCCCCTTTCAAAATGACACCCTTCCACAAATCAAAAAAGTAGTTGACATTTGCTGGTGACTGGACATCATCGGCATCGTAAACACCATCAACGAGGTCAATAAATGCTAATTGATGTCCCTCATCGGCCCGCTTTTGTAACTGCTTGAGAATATAAGTATAGTCCTCTTTACTTGAAGGATTGATTCCAGGTTCTTGAAACACATTTGCTGGAGAAAACCGAACACCCACTCTTTGTGCATCAGCCACTTTGAAAATGTTGTCAAAGGCTTCCAAGATAAACCTGGCTCTGTTTTCAATTGGTCCTCCGTACTTGTCAGTTCTGGTGTTGATCTTTGGGTGCAAAAATTGACTGGCAATGTACCCATTAGCGAAATGCAACTCAACAAAATCAAACCCTGCCACATCAAGAGCTAATTTGACGGCATTGGGATAATCCTTTTCAACCAATTCCTCAATTTCCTCTGTAGTCAATGGACGAAGTGGGTTTCCGGCCTCAATAGCCTCCTTTTCTGATTTTTCGTGTTCATATACATCACTAACACCAACAAAATCATAACCCTTTGTCTTTAACAAAGCACCACTAGCAACTCTACCTAGTCCCCATAATTGAAGGGCAATCCTACCCCCTGCAGCATGAACAGAATCAACCACTTCTTTCCACCCCAAGGCCTGCTTTTCATTCCAGATTCCTGGGACATTGGGGTACCAACCCAACTTTGGAGTAGCAATTGTTGCTTCTGTGACTAACAAGGCACCAGATTTGGCTCGGTCAGTATAGTACTTTTTCTCCAAATCTGTGGGGATGTGATCACCTGGATGGGCTCTGTTTCTAGTGGTGGGGAGATGGGCAATTCTGTGTTGGATCACAGTGTTTCCAACCTTGATAGGTTTGAACAAATTTGATGATTGAATAGCAGCTTTAGTCATGGATGTATATTGTTGCTAGATGGGATGGATTGAGAAAATTGTTGCCACCGATGAAGGGACTGAAGTGCTGTATTTATATTGTGACTTTAGTTGTGGTGAGAGCAATTAGCTGCTTTATAATGTTGAACATGGTTGGGTCGGTATATGGATCCGAAAGTGTGGCTGAATAATAGTTTTGAAAATTTTCGGCTCTCGGGTTTGAGTGTTTCCCAAAAAGGACATGTTTATCTCCTTCTCGCTAAATAGATTACAAATGACAAAAAAACGTCTTTGAGCAAAGATTGAGAAAGCCGATTTGCCTTCTCTTAGATCTGTGCTGAGAAAGTAATATGCATCATTGATGGGCTTAAGCTTTCCAACTTGTGTTTTAGAAACTTTGGCTTACAAATGATTTATTTACTGGGTGTCGTGGGTCTGTCATATGATTAACTCCGTTTAACTTCGTTGATAAAACCACGTCTGCCATCGTTCAACGTTGAAGCTATAACAATGCGCATGTGTGTAGCTGCTTAGCTTTTCCATGCAAACGAAATGTGTACTAAGCATCCATATGAGACAATTATCCTTGTCTTTCATGTAAGCATTGTAGTTTCTATAACGATTACACAATCTGTTGCATTTCTCTAAGATTAAGGACAATCTGTTTCTACCAATTATAAAGTGAACATCGCAAAGTAGCTTGACAGTAACATGTTAAGCGTTTTAAAATTGAGAATAATACAGCTCGTAGTGGAAGCAACTTGTCGTGGCACATTTTTGGTGCTAAAATATTGCAAAAAAAAAAAAAAGAAAAAAAAAGAACTTGAAACAAAATTTGTAGCTAAGCTAAAGGCATGATTTTTTAGCAATAGATGTAAAGCAATATGTGCTGGAATATTATTTACTCTAGTGGTTTGCGATCTCTTGGTTTTGGTCAGTGGATGCTTCTTTGTTGACCATGATCAGTGATAAGCAAAAAGAAAAATCTCGGATATTCGATCCGTTCCATTTGTGATCTCTTCCGAAAATTCATCAATTTTTTGTCATTCTAAACTGCTCATCAAAGCTCTGCCAGACATCATCACACTTATGTTACCAACCACACACCCTAGCATATACTCCATCTCACTGTAACTGTCATGATTCGACTACATTTCAAAAGACTTTTCAGCAAACTTAGACAAACACCCATCATCAATTGGAAATTGATTGACCCACGAATCTCAATTCAACAAGATTGTGCATTCTGTCAGCTGCGTTTCCCACAGGATAAGCAAATCAACTTTGACCAAGATCTTGGAAAGAGTGCCGCAATACCAAGTAAGCATGTCATGGTGCTCACAACTAAACACAACAGAATTGAAGAGTTTGAATCCAGAATTGAAAAATGGTCAGGTACTTTGGCACACGAGGTGAATAAACTACACTTTAAAATTCCAATGGGGTCGAGGACATTGATATCGAGTATCGTACTACATAACAATGAAGAAGTATTGCAGCAATATGAGGTCAACCGACAAGAAGGCGACCAGTTGGTGTTTATCTATCCCGAGATGAAAATCGTCAAATTCAACATTAGCCACACTGATCAGTTTATGACAAAGTATTTGAAAAGTGAGCAAGAGGAAGAAGTTGAAGTGTTTAACCCATTTGCGAAACCACAGGCTAGTTCAAAGAATCGTGTTTCCAAAATAAAAGTCAATAATGGCAATTTTCAAGAGTGGCAATTGGACAAGGACTTGGTGGTGATATGCGGCCATGCTAAACGAGATATGAGATGCGGAGTATTGGGCCCGTTATTAGTGGATAAGTTTAACACCGAATTGCTGCTGAAAGCATTACATGATGATGTATACGTTGGTGAGATCACTCATGTTGGGGGCCATGCATTTGCAGGTAATGTTTTGTACTACCCCAAGGAATGCGCCACGAGCCACGATTTTATATGGTATGGGCGTGTGTTTCCTGATCATGTGGAGAGGATTGTCGATGATACAATTTTGAATAAAGAAATTATCAAAGGTTTGTTTCGAGGTGACTGCGAGAGTTATAACAGTGATGAAGTAGACTAGAAGCAGGGCTTGTATTACATATATTTATTCTATATTGTCCCTCCCATTCGACTGCTGCTCTCTGTTTATTAAGCCAGTGATTGTTTGAAACATTTCCACATTTGAAAATTGACTTGCAGTACTTATGTTCAAGTAAATAGGCACCTTGTACTTTGCAGCCAATTGGCCATTCAACAGCTTTATCTGCTCGCTTTCCTCGACACTATTTATGAAGGTGGATGAATCGTGTATCGTGTAGATGTAATCACCCATGATTTGGTTCTGTCGTTGGTTGATGTATACGGTTATGGGTGCTTTCTTGTGGTGACTCTGATTGTACGTTATCACTATCGTATAATCTGTATCGCCAATTGTTGTTTCCTCTATGATGTGGTGCGACATTGATGTGTGGCGAAGGGGTGTGTGGTTCGGGCTAACTCGCTCGGAGGATGAGGTCCATCAACCAGCATGCCATCCATCTCAACTCCAGTCAATGCTACTGAGCATATTTATATACAGGAATATTTTCACAAACTCGATTGTAGAAACCATACTTTACTGCCTTTGAAGTATGAGACAGCAATGGGGAGACTTGGTCTTAGAAAATGTCTCATAACGCATCCCTTTTGGCGTATCCACCTCCAATCAAAGCTTTTCAATGACTGTTGTTATGATACCTATAGCATGTAGTGTTGCTAGAAAAAAAACGTGCGTCGATGTTTTACAAGAACTTATCACCAACCTGTTCAGAAGTGCCACTCCGCAACATAACTTCATTTTATATGTGTCCAATCATTTGTCACTCAACAACAGCATGCTAGATAAATGAATATGCTATGCTTCTTGACTTAAAGGGTCCCCCTTCGGCTTGAAAAGCTAAAATTTACACCAAAGGTATTGCTCTTGGGTGTCACTTGTACATTGCTTCTACATATCAGCACCCAAATTTCACTGCTGTTATCACATCACCTTCTTAAATGAGTTATCCAAGCATTTCAAACATCTCACCGTAAAGAATGCCATCTCACGTTCAAGTTCATAACAAAGCCCCCATTGTTCCATTGAACAAATCACGACCCAACGTCTCAAATATAGCTCAGGGGTTTAACGAAATTCCATTTGTTGCAAATCACTATTCAATGCTCTGCACCTCATTTCTAGATGACGAAGATGACGAAGAAGAAGATGTTTCTGAATCAACAATCATTCTTGATCCAGCACAGAAGCTTAATGCTCTGGAGTGTCAAATATCTCCACCAAGCTCTGAATCCATAGAACTGTTGAAGTCAAAACCGCCAATCACCTGCAATAATAACAACAATAACAACAGAAACCTCAGGAGAAACCTCAGGCGAAACATCGCCCAACGAATCGAGCTCTACAAAAACGTCCACAAAAACAGCGAGATGTTTAGAAAAGCTAATGCTTATTGCAAAGCTATGAACAGGATCAAATTGGTTGGCAAAAATGATAGAAAGCGCAACGGAAAGACCACAAGTAACAACAACAATTACACTAAAGGACAGGAAATCGTCGCACTTCATACATGTCCTATTCGCTTTGAAATACGGAATTCATGGAATAGTAAGAACGTCACCTTAACCTAATGACAATTAAAATTTTTATTACATTTTCACCGTCACATTTGCGGGAGCTGAAGTTTAGAAGCGATATTCGATTTGAGAGCCTTGGTCAAATTAATGCAACTATTTCTACTAACCTTGTTTGACATCAAGGACTTACGTATACATTATTGGCTTTGCCAATTCACCAAAACTACATACCTCAACTATTATATCACCACTTGGCAAAAGCCAACAACGGCAACTTAGAGAATTAACAACCTAGCAAAAATTTTGCGAAATCTTTTTCAACTCCTTATCTTCGTAAATCTGTTTGAACAATACATCCAAATTTCTTTTCCCCTCAGCCGGTTTAGCAGCATATGTACCTGGCTTTATTCCCCACTCGCTGCTCCACCAACCTCTGGACCTCTGGGTCTCCCCCAGATTCGTTAGGCAATAAAGTCCCACCACAGCAAAGGGCAAAGTTGGACTTAGCATACTATAAGTATCCAATTTGTATGCGCCACCTTTATAGTCTCGAATTAACAAAGAGTCCCACCAATGGATACTTGCTTTGGGAAAGCTGTGAAATAAACTAGCAACATGGGGTACTGGGTAATGCCTATTATCCTGTGTTGTTGCAATGATGAGCACCTGTAAGTTACCATGAGAAAAGGAATGGAGATCATAAAACAATCCATCATTGACACAAAGGCCCAAGTTTTTCAATTTTGGGAATGAACTCTCGAGGTTGTCCTTGAGGCTATGCTTGAATTCCAAAACGGATTCCAAACACAACTCTCGGATATACCGGGTTTCAAAAGCATCTTCAACGTAAAACCCCAAGTCTAAAGTCTTTCTACGTGGCCGAACCGCATTGAGATACACTTTTTGCAACGGCAACGTAATTTGAAAGTCAACTTTCTCAGTAACATGGAATGTCATATACAACTCAGTTAGAGTTGACACTTGATTGATCAACTCAAGGCCCCCAAAACCATTATAAACGTCCAATTTTAAACGTTTGACATGATCATTTCTTGACAAGTTCAGTAATAACGTATGCTTCAACTCTCGAAAGACGTGATTGCAATCACTATACTTCAACTTTCTCGTGTAATTCTTGTTTCCACAAACAGCATAAAATGGTCGTCGTGATCGTAATTTATGTCCAAGACCATTTGTAGCCTCACACGCATCATATTGTCCTGTTATTACGCTAAAGTACTCGATCCTCGGCAAATGCTCAGCGATTTTCCACTCAAACCCTGTTGGAATAAAGTAAATCTCAAGTAAGTGGATTGGTTCCTTTGCATCCATCTTCAGCATGTACTTCTTGAAGTTGTCGAAGGACACTATGGTGAACTTATTGCTCTTGGAGTTGTTTATATCCTTGTAGAAATTAAATGGCTTAAGTTGTGTATATTTCTTCCTTGTAAGACGATTATCCTGCAATGGCTTTGAAAGATAAACATGGATGTACCGGTATAGTTTTGACTTTATGTGTTTTGCAAACTTGGAATTCAAAGTGGCCAACCGCAATAGTTGATGTTGGTTAAAATTGACAAGAATGAATTTTATCAATACGTCCTCCCAGTTGGTTGAGGAGGTTATTATTGAAACAGT